CAAAGATAAGATAGAGGCGGTCCTTCAAGAGATAACACAGGGATAAAATGATTTTTAGAATACCAACTTACAATAATATTACTTATTAATATTCAGCCGTGTTATCTCTGGAAGATACAACAAAAGATAACACAAAACTTACAATGTTGAGAATACCGCCCCTGGTAAAAGAGTTTAGATGAAATGCACATAGATCTAGATCTACAACACTAACATTCTGAATTAATATAAATTTAATGGCTGCTGAAAGCAAAGTGTGCAACTGTAGTGTTAGTGTGTTACTGTAGTGTTAGCTAATCTATTATCTAGTTAGTTGCTAACGGCGTAACGCCTACTTTTAGATCTGTTTTTTTTAACTAGACCTAGACTCTATACTTTATATTGTACAGTGGAAGTGGAAGTTAGGTAGTGTATGACCTCTTATCAGTATCCTTACGTTATACCCTCCCTCTTAATTAGGTCCAAGTCTAACATTCATCATGATTATTTCACACACTGCACCGAGGCCGCGGCGGTGACGCGACAGTCATCGACGGTGCGATGTCCCCTTAGGCTTCGGCTTTACGTAGGCGCACTCCCCGCTAGCGCTGGATGCTGAAAATGAAAACTTTTCTTGGTTTGTCTTATGGCTCCAGTTTGAATTGCTTAATTCATCAGCATTTAAAACTCATTACATATATACTTTTCTTAATACGGAAGCAAAATAAGATTACTTAAATAATCAGAATGATTTTGAAAAAGGAAATTTATGCTACCTTTTCAGGACCGTCGACTCTGCCCAAGTTGATCGTTGACAGCGTAGTTTTCGATAAATTCGTAGCTTCAAATTGATCAAGAGATCAAGTACATCATTTTTTACTTTAAATGATTCAAAATCATAAAACACGAGAGGGAGTTAAATCTAAAATATTACTTTGATTTTTGAAAATTATTTGAGACACTTCCGAGTTGAAATAATCAAATAGAATGAAGAAATTAAAGAATACAAATAATAATGTTTGGCGTGCGTAATACTACGATGGCGCTCCACATCATATTTGGTTCACTTTCACACTTGTGAAAGTGAAACATCGGCAGAATCGGCGCTTGTCAAAGTGAACCAATAGGGACGCGTACAAACGTGGTTCACTTTCACACATTTGTTGGTTCACTTTCACATGTTAAATCTCTCTCTCTCTCTCCCTCTCTATCTCTCTCTCTCTATCTCTCTCTCTCTATATATATATATATATAAATCTCTCTTTCACTTTCGCACTCTCCCCCCCCCCTCCCTCTCCCTCTCTCTCTCTCTCTCTCTTTCCCTGCTCTTTGTTGCATACCTGGCAAACAGGGAAATTAAATTGGCTCATTCAACGTGCTAGAACATACATAATTTCAGTCTAATGTGTGGATATTGAATTGCATTCAATCATCATTATTGCTCTCGAAGTGAAATGATTAGTTATCGTGGTGATACTCTGCCACCTATTCAGGTAGATAAAAGAGAGTCTAAAAAAGCTTTATTTGTATGTGTTACAAATTAGTTTCTTTTATTTCTTGTTCGTATCTGCAAATATATAGGAGCATTAAATACTACTGTACAGACACTGCCAGGTATAGCTGTGCTCATGCCAGTTCCATGTAGAGCAACATTACAGCAGTCTATATAGATACAATATACCGATAGCTTTCACAGGTTGTAGTGAGATTCAATATATTGTGATCCAGCACTATCCAATCTTCATCACCTTATAAATCATTCATCATTTCATGTTTAAGAGGCAACATCTGGATAAATGTTATCACCATGGAAACCTGGTCACATGCACAGCATCGACACTATATTAGCCCATAGCAGTTTACAGTTTTGTACGGCTCTGAATGAATCAACTTTTCCTCCTCAATTTGGCAATTATAATTTGTATTTTCTGCTCTTTCGTACGTTAAAAAATGAAAATGGTAGAAAATCGACAAGAGATTGCCAATTTGTACATATAAATATTGATTACAAATTTCACTCTGCATTGCTGATGAAGAGGCTTCACTTTAATTGCTCTTATATATGAACAGCACTTTGTACTCCTACAGAAATGGACTCAAATTTTCCAGTGACCATGGAACTGTCTGATCATGAACCATTTGCACTCTGGGTCAAAAAAAAAAAATATATATATATATATATATATAACATCACAAAAAGGCTATAGGTTAAAATGTTGAAATAATGTCATATTAATATATCTTTGCCATACACCTTGATATAACAGGGACATGGATACATGTATTCTACCTTAATTCAAGCAATATGGTGGATTCCACAGCGCCATCTAACAAAACCAGTGATTTGGCAATTTCACACGATGCATTATGGGAAAAGTCATCAAATATGTCAGCTGTGGCATTATTATATATGCTAGGAGATTTTTGGCAATTTAATCAGAAATTTCAGATCGGTAAGTTTGAATACCGGTAGCTGATCTGGAGTAACAATTTTTGCTGATTCAAAATATATCAGTCTTATAGTCCCTATTCACAACGTTTTGGTAATTTTGGCCAAAACTGACTATTATAGTCCCTTTTGGTCAGGGGTAATTTTTATGCCTCCGTTACGAAGTAGCCGGAGGCATTATGTTTTCGGGTTGTCCGTCCGTCCGTCCGTCCGTCCGTACGTCTGTACGTACGTCTGTACGTACGTCCCGTTCTCGTGATCACGTTATCTGAAGAACGGATCAATGGATTCCTACCAAACTTTGGTCATATATGTATCTAGCAAAGTCGATGAACTGATTAGATTTTGGGGTCACGAGGTCAAAGGTCAAAGGTCACAGGGCTCATTATGTATGCAAAAACAGCTCGTGATCGCGTTATCTGAAGAACCGATGGATGGATTCCTGCCAAACTTTGGTCATGTATGTATCTTGTAGAGTCGATGAACTGATTAGATTTTGGGGTCACGAGGTCAAAGGTCAAAGGTCACAGGGCTCATTATGTATGCAAAACGGCTCGTGATCGCGTTATCTGAAGAACCGATTGATGGATTCCTGCCAAACTTTGGTCATGTATGTATCTTGCAGAGCCAATGAACTGATTAGATTTTGGGGTCACGAGGTCAAAGGTCAAAGGTCACAGGGCTCATTATGTATGCAAAAACAGCTTGTGATCGCGTTATCTCAAGAACCGATTGATGGATTCCTGCCAAACTTAGGTCATGTATGTTACTTGCAGAGCCGATGAACTTATTAGATTTTGGGTAACGAGGTCAAAGGTCAAAGGTCACAGCGCCCATTATGTATGCAAAAACAGCTTGTGATCGCGTTATCATTAGAACAGATTGATGGATTCCTGCCAAACTTAGATCATTTATGTATCTTGCAGAGCCAATGAACTGTGTAGATTCTTGGTTCATAAGGTCCAAGGTCATGGGCTCATTATGTATGCAAAAATAGCTTGTGAACGCATTCTCATTAGAACTGACAGATGGATTACTATTTAACTCTGGATATCTTGCAGAGCCAATGAGCTGAGTAGATATTAGGATCATGAGGTCAAAGTTCAAAGGGTCATATATGTATATGAGAAATTGTTTGTAATCACGATATTCTGAGAACCTGTTAATGGATTACAATTGTACTTGAATTTGAAAAATTTCTTCTGTTTTGGTTTGTAAAATTGCTCTATGACGGAGGCATCATTTTCGACTGCGCGCAGTCGAATTCCATCTAGTTCCAATTGTTTTTATCAGCAAAAAAAAATTTAAAAGGCCTCTTCGTTATAAAAATTTGACCACCATCAATTACAATATGGTAATATCTGTCACTTTTTGGCCCAAAATAACCATTTGTATTGAATTTTGTCCAAAATCAGGCAAAATTTTAAGTCAGATTCAATAATTGATTTGTGGGTATAGGTAATGAAAATTTGCATTAATCTAAAAAAAATCAATGTATTAAATAAATTTACATAGTTTGGACCACTTTGGTCATTTTATTTTGATCGGTGACTAGCATTTTGCTGCGCTGCACTGGTTGAAGGATGTCGAACCGCGAGCTGAAAAATGGGCCTGTCGCAGCTTGCCTCTGGGGGCGCTATTGATTGTGAATCCACCCTATTATGAATGCTGTTCAGATTTTGGGTCATAAGTGCACTAAAGTGACAGAATCGTGAATTGCATGGTAGTAGGTGGCATAATTCATTGATTCTAGCCATGCATATGAGTCGGTTATAATCACTGGATTGCAAAGTGGAATGTGGCAGAATTTATATTTTTTAGCCATGTATACAAACCGACCTACAGAAATCTAATCAAAAAGAGTGGATAGCTGGTGATTAAATACATTGCATATGGGCACTTGATAGGTTCACTTTAGCAAATTATTTGTAAGGTCTTTGTTGTTCGTTATCTAATCCTTCTTTGAAGTTACAAAACAATACATCCTTGTGTAGAGATGTTTTTGAGCTGGTCCAATGAGTTTAAATATGATTTTTTTTCTGCAAAGCGTTGACCAGTTTGTCACTGAGCTTGAGATTACTAGCTTCATAGCGCCAGCATATTCAAGCAGTACCCTTACTTTAGGGGGAGGGGGCAGTTGCATGTAACTACATGTATGCTTCGATTCCCTGCCATCAAATCTACATGTGTACATTTACCACACTCAACCCAGGTGCAGTAAATGGGTATTAGTCGTAAGGATTTTTTTGAAATGTTTCAATGCCTTCAAATTCATCAGGACAGCTAGACTTGAAGCTTGGGCAATCAACCAAAGCTCTTTCGAAATGCATGAAGACATTGCCAAAGATGTGATATTTGTTATACAAGAACTCAGCATTTATTCTCATTTACTATGTGTCCTGTAGTGTATCATTTATATTAATGCATCCCCCCACTTCCAATTCTGAATTTGGATTAAGGCCACTACATGAAAGATAAAAGGACACCACCTTTAAAACAGAGTCTGTTTATTATTATCTAGCTTATAGTTTTTGTTAATGCAATATTTTAACTGTTTATTATTTGTTTGTTTGTGTTTTTGGTTGTTACCATAGAAATTACCGATGCCTACCCGCGAGGCATCCAAGTCTCAGAACTCTAACTCTAACTCAAGTATGGGTTTGGTCAGGGCAAGTGATTTCAACTTCCTATCAGTGCTTGGCAAAGGGAGCTTCGGCAAGGTGAGTTCTATACATTTAAACTTTCAATATTGAAGTATAGGCCTATGAAATTGGTAGTTTTCTATAAGAATGCTTTTGTTCTCTTTCTCAACATAAGAAAATAGTAGAGTTGGATTATTCCTAGAAATACTCTGTGCACAGATAATGGTCCAGTGGATAATTCCCGGACTGAACTACAAGTATCTGGGGGTTTGAATCCCTGCCACAGCACTTACGTCCTTTGGCAAGACGTTGATTTACATTCACCACATTGCATCCAAGTAAATGAATACTTACTGGTAGTAGGATTATTTCTTGAAATACACTGTGCACTGATAATGGCCGCCAGAGCTATAGTTGCACTTGTAAAAAGCTTTGAAAAAATCAATTTTTTTAAAAAAAATGGGTACTGACATTATATTCTCCGATCCTATGCCTGCATGTCATTTGAAATAGAATATCAACAACATAAATACAACAATTATTAAATTAAATTATTTACTATACCATGTGATTAGCACAAAATTTTCCATTCCCTTACATGGACAATATAGTCTTCATGAACTTTTTTAAACCCAATGAACTCTATGAACCATATGCACTTATAAAAGAGTATTTATGATGTCTCTTTCATAAATGTAATGATAGTGAATTGTAAAAACGTTGTCATTCTGGGCTTTATAGAACATATAACTAGTCACAGAACCTAGCAACCTTGGTTGCTAGTTCCTTGACAGTTCATTGCAGCTACCTAATTACTTCAGACAAGAAAGTTGTAAACCCGTCAAGATTTTTCCTGTGACACCTTCATTTGTCTAGGTCATGCTAGCAGACAAAAATTGAAGTCGGCAACAGTGAAAATTTCAGATCAATAAACTTGTAGCATAACCTTTATCATCTTGTGACAATATTGAGACTTACAGGTTATAATACTGTACTGCCTATTCAGATAGAGGGCGACAGACAACTGAATAAAGTTAGACACTTCTTGTCAGACATCTTTGTGCATAGTGAGTTATTTCAGTGAAAAACACATAACACATCTTGAGGTGTTTCACAGAACTTGTCATCGGTGACAAATGACAATTTTTGTTATAAGCTACTGAAATCCTTGCTTGTGATTGGTTATCAGCAGATTTGTCACTGATTTTTATTAGTTGTCATTGAAAAAAGGCTTTGTGAAACGGGTCCCTGAACTTGACTCCATCATTTACACGGTAAAGGAAAAGGCTAGCTGTCTCAGGTGATGCTCTGCAGACAACTCATGTATGCTATGTGAATGGTTCACACAAAGAACCTGTTTGTCTATGAACTGATTTCTCCTATGACCTCTTCTTTCTTCAGGTCATGCTAGCGGAGAAGAAGGGCACCGACGAGCTCTACGCCATCAAGATTCTCAAGAAGGACGTGATCATCCAGGACGACGATGTGGAGTGCACCATGACGGAGAAGCGGGTCCTAGCCCTGCCCAGCAAGCCTGCCTTCCTGACGGCGCTCCACTCTTGCTTCCAGACGATGGACAGACTCTTCTTCGTCATGGAGTTCGTCAACGGTGGAGACCTCATGTTCCAGATCCAGAAGGTCGGCAAGTTCAAGGAGCCACATGCTGTGTAAGTCCCTGCATGGCCACCACAGGAGAGAGAGAGAGGGGGAGAGGGAGGGAGGGAGATCTCAACTTCTGTGTTCATGATGTTTTGGCATTACCTGCACCGAGGAGAAGAAAAACACATTATAATCACCTGGTCTTACCGCAGTATAACTGATTGGGATATAATAGTAATAATAATAATATTTAGCTTTTATATAGCGCTTAATACAATGCCTCTAGGCGCTTTACAAATTTATTATTACCCCGGTCATTGGATTCAGTGCTTGCCCGCACACTGTTTGCACAATCACCACTCCCTATGAGTATTCCCGCCAGGCATTACTTGACGCTCAAAAACTGTTTGACCAACAATGACAGTCGCATCCTACCGGGTACCCATTTAACACATGGGTGGAGAGTAGCAAGTGCAGGTTAATATCTTGCCAAAGGATATAAGTGCCGTGTCAGGATTCGAACCCTCGACCTTCGCATTTCCAGTCAAGCGTCTTAAACCACTCGACCACGACACTCCCATATACAGATGTTTCACTAGACCTGGGTTTACTTGAAATCGTTTACAAAAAGTACAAAGGATCCTTAACATGCAGTGGCGGTGACTTTGTTACACACAGGGCCGCCATGTTTACTTGTATTCGAGGGACAAAGTGTTTTTCACTGTAATGTAGTCTGTTTCTACGGAATCGGGAAGGGACATATTATGCAAATATTGACTGCTCATGAGGATGATAGGTGAACTTATCACTCGCAAGAGGGTGTTCATACCGGCCCTTCTATCATCTTGAGGTAAAGCAGAGGGGGTGATAAAAGGGCCGGTATGAACACCACCGAGGGAGTGCATAATTTCCACCACCATCCAATATTTGTCTGGACTCAATTTAAACCTACAAACCTTTGGATAGAAATGCAGATGCTCTACCTCTAAGTCAACTCACCTTCTCTTGAACAAATACCACAACAACAAAAACTATATTATTGCCAATAAACCTATACTACCTTACCAGTACCCCTTTCGATGTCAGTTCCAATGTCAATTCGAGTACCAATACCGGCGTTAACATCAAGACCCATTACTGATACAATCCACACCACATGCAACACTCAACTCAACACCATTAGAGAATACCACTTCTAGTATCAATGCCATGACCAGGGGGGCGTTTCACAAACTAGTCATCAGTGACAAATGACAGTATTTGTTTTAAGCTACTGAAATCCTTGCTTCTGAATGGTTATCAGCAAATTTTGCCACTGATTTTTGTAATTTGTCATTGAAAAAGGGCTTTGTAAAACGTCCCCCTGATCGTTTGATGTCTCATTTTTCCTTCAGGTTCTATGCAGCAGAGATAGCAGTAGGCCTATTCTACCTCCATTTGCAGGGTGTGATCTACCGAGATCTCAAGCTAGATAACGTGCTAGTAGACGCGGAGGGGCACATCAAGATCGCTGACTTTGGCATGTGCAAGGAACACATGAACGAGGGCGACACAACAAGGACGTTCTGCGGAACGCCAGACTACATTGCACCCGAGGTGAAGAGGAAACAGAATTAAATGTGTTAGACTTTAGGGGGTGTTGTGACGGTGCTAAGACATATTGCTCCAGCAACAATTTTTCCAGGCTTTATTTCATCAAAGATATCTGGCCTGGGTTGCAGTTGGGTTTAGGTGAAGTGTAGGGTTAGGGCTAGGGTTAGGTGTAGTGTTTAGGTTTAGGTTTAGTGACTGATCTAGGGTTGAAGTTAAGAATTCTGTAGTAGGGTGTAGGATATTGACAAAGAGTGACTGTCACTAGAGCATGTGTCATACAACTGATGTGACATTTTCTTTTGTTACATTTGCTCAAGGACTACAGACCTAATTCATCCAAGGTACAAAGTATATCAATTATGTTTACTTAGCTGCAATTTGTAAATGAAACAAAACCAACAAAACAACAAATAAGCCGTTACTTTGGTGTACGTATTATTTTGCAGATGTGATGACAGAGAGACAGACACTTTTTGCAAGAAGTAGTTTTCATGAAACAGGTGACTTACAATATGTTTGCACTTGTATTTCCAGCTCATTTGCACATGTTTTTTCATCTGTGACCCTGCAATTCACGAAACCTTTGGAATAAAGCTTTGTAATAAGGAAGGCTTATACAGTCTTTGGGACATCTTGACAGCTAAGGAGAAGCATTATAAATTGTTGTTTGTTGTTTCTTGTTTTCTTCTCTAGATTGTAGCATACCAGCCCTATGGTAAGGCTGTTGACTGGTGGGCCTTTGGAGTGTTACTCTATGAAATGTTAGCAGGACAGGTAAGGTTATGATGATGATGATGATGATCAGCTTTCCTTATGGGGCAGTTAATGGGTGGAGGGTGCAGTACATTACATAAGACCTGTCAGTTGTAGGGCACACCCAGTGATTCATCACATCAGTGTATCAGGTGAATACCAAAATGGTGTCCATGCTTATGTGTCTTTAGAACCAGCTTCAAAATTTAAAAAATTGTGACGTGCATCGCTGTGTTTAATCCATTATACTTGCGACCGTTTGTATCAATTTTTCAGCTATGAACATTTGCTTCCTTTTCCATTATACTTGTGAATTTAAAGAACTTAATTATTGGGGGGTGTTTCACAAAGATCCTAAGTTGAACTTATCTCTAAGTTAGACATAACAATTATGGAAAGCCGTTAGCATCCTTGAAAATATTTAGTAAAAGTTATTTTAAAAGGCATAAAATGTTTATTCAATTCATTCATATTTTCTATTATCATGGGAGATTTTATGTTCTTGATGTGGAATTTATGAAAAGTCTAAAATACTTGAATTTTTGCTTTTGAACATATTTCATTATAAGACTACAAATGGCTCTCCATAATATTTAAGTCCAACTTAGAGTTAAGTTCGATTTAGAATCTTTGTGAAACACCCCCCTGCAAACTGTGTTGTTTAGAAAGAATCATCAGACATATATGATCCGAAACTGCAACTGGATTTGAAAGTAATTTGTGATCCACTTTTCTCATCTTTCTTCCAATTAGCCTCCATTTGATGGTGAAGATGAAGATGAGCTGTTCCAATCCATCATGGAGCATGTACCCTCGTACCCCAAATCAATGTCAAAGGAATCGGTGTCTATGTGCAAAGGGGTAAGTCCCTATGGAGTAGTGAAGTGTGACGTCATCAAATATCAATTTTTAGAATTTCTCAATCAAAAATAATGTCCAAATGTTGAAAAACCAATTGAATATGTTAAGTATTGGCTGAGATATGACCATCTGAATAAATAGATGCCCTGTAGGAACTCAGTGTGGCTCCTAATGTTATGAACCTGAGCAATATAACACTAAGTTCCTATAGGACATCTATTTATTCAGATGGTCATATCTCAGCCAATACTTAACATATACAATTGGTTTTTTGACGTTTGGACATTATTTTTGATACTCTTACAGAAAATGAAGAAAAAATTGAGAAACTCTAATAATATATTTTTATGATGTCACAACTTTGTTACCCTATGGTTCCTACTAGTAGATGATTTCAAGCAACAGTTAAACGAGTTTGCTTTTCATTTGTGTAATATCATTTTCACCTATATCAGACTTTTGGTTTGGATTTGGTTGGTTTGTAGTTTTACCTGACTGCTAAGAAAGTATGTGTATATAACCAGGGGACAGACAACTTAAAGTCCTCTCCGAGGGACACTTTCTGCAGTTGGTTGGCATGAAACATGATAGATTTGAGATGCCTTGAAGTTAAGCAAAGCTACCTTTCCCAGATCTAATGTAATTCTGACTTACACTTTTTATTTAAATAAATGAAAAAGAGTGATTTATTTATTTATTTATTTATTTTATTTTTTTTTTGGGGGGGGGGTGTAGATTACTTTTCTTATTTCTCAACTTTATAATGGGGAAGTACACACTTTCAAGCAAAATGAACTTCCAGAGGGCTATTATCTCATTCCTGTGAAAAAAAGTTGTGATGTAGCTTTTTAGACCACATGATGTGATGATGATGGAGATACACACAGCATATGTATGGTGTGGTTTGAAAACCATTCATAGGTACAGGCTCCTTTGATACATTCATTATTTATACAGCTACTGTAAAGGGTCAGTATTGAATTACATGTAAGTACAATAAAGTTATCAATACAGTGAAACCTGTATATAAAGACCACCCAAGGGAGACAAGAGAAGCTATCTTTATATGGTCTTTATGTTCAGGTTCCTATGATTCATAGGTCAATGCAAATCATTGTTCAATGGTGATGACTATAGAAGAGTCTTTATAGACAGGTGATCTTTCTATACAGCGCCTTTCTATGGTTGCTAAAGCAGGTTTGATAAAGAAGATATATTTGTGGTTGATTTTGTTAGTTCTTGACCAAGCACCCTGGCAAGCGGTTAGGATGCGGACCAACGGGTGAGCAGGACATCAGAGAACATCAGTTCTTCCGCCGTATTGACTGGGAGAGGCTGGCCAACCGAGAAATACAGCCTCCATTCGTGCCGACGGTGGTACGTACCCCCGCCCCCTTTTCGTTTCTCTCCGTCCAGTATCTTGTTTCCTTGTCATTTTTGTATTTGTCTATCGACAGCCACAAGGGCCTTAAAGGGATAGTTGAGATGCCTTCACAGTGCATGGTTATTGCTCTTTGCTATTCTTATTTATGAGATTTCTAGTGCCCTTTTAGAATCTCAAATTGCTATGAAGGTAATTTTAGACCACAAAATGTGTGAAATTTAGATTAAATACGATCATACCAATTCATCTCCACTTTTAAATACATACGGTGACCGTTAATTAATTAATTGATAACAATAACCTGGCCGGCTTTTGTGCATATTATAAACAACACAAAAAATCCAACAAAGAGCCAACATGATCATTGGCTAGAATCAAACGTATAAGTCGCTATGTCGTTTTTTAAACGGCTGGTTCAAAATTATTGAATATTTTTGGGGCCCCACAAATATTACAAATGGTTATATTTATGGATATTTGTAGCCGTTTCTGAACCGATTTTGATCAAACAAAGATGGTTTTGTTATTTAAACAGTATGTTCTTTCAAATTTAACACTCGGCTTTTCATTATCTCACAAAAAAATATTTTGTGTTATTTCACCCTCTGCAACAAAACTCAACTATCCCTTTAACTTATACTGTGGGCTTGGTTTCTTTGTCTGTTCCTTTGCTATTTCACATGTTGCCTGTTGAAAGACAGAAGGGCATTAACACATAACGTTGAATCCCTTTTGACTCTTAGCAGTGAATATTACTGTGAGATAGGTTACTTTTTGTTGTAGTGGTCGGTATCCCTGCCCCGCCCCCCCCCCCCCCCCCCCCCTCTGTCTTTCTCTCTACCTCTCCAAATTCTCCAATGATTTTCTGTTTCACTTTTTTCTTTCTCACTGAACTTATAATAATAATGGTGTCTTTTAGTTTTTTTATTGTCATTTAGAGGGAACCAATCACCTAAAGTTATCTGTGTATATCATCTAAATATGGAGTGCTCGTGCAGTGCTACATATATGTAGCAGCATAATTTTTTCTGCTTTTACTCTAGATTTTGGTCTTTTTGCTTTTAACCAAAATGTCTATTTCCTGCTGTGGAATCTGGCGTTGTATTTCTTTTGCATGTATTTTTCATCTTTTGTATAACTTCTGTTCCCACCTATCCCCTTTCCTGATTGTTTATCATCTACTTGTACATGTTCTTTGCAATGATCTACTTGTACATGTTCTTTGCAATGATCTACTTGTACATGTTCTTTGCAATGATCTACTTGTACATGTTCTTTCAATGATCTACTTGTACATGTTCTTTGCAATGATCTACTTGTACGTGTTCTTTGCTATGATATCTACAAGTCCTGTATTGCATTTTTTTCTTCATTCCTCTTCTTTGCCATTGTTCTGTGACATGTTTTGAAGTGTTATATTGTTCATAGCTCCTTTATCTCATGGTTTTTACTCACGATATTGTGTAAGCATGCAAAGGGCACATTCCGAATGGTAGTTGCAGTGTTGCCATTCTGTAAATAGACTGGTATATACAAAAAAGTGCCTTAAGAATGATGCATGTGCCTTTATATGCTACAGGAAGAGTAAGTATAGTTCATAATGCATGTGCATGTCTGTATGTATGCATGTGCATAAACAATGTATATGCATAGTTTTCTTTTTCTCTTTCTCTCTGTCTGCCTGTTTCTAGATTCCCCCCCCCCCCTTCTGTCTCCGACTCTCCCCCTCTCTCTCTCTCCCTCTCTCTCTCTCTCCCCTCTCTCTCCCTGTCTCTCCCTCCCTCTCTGTCTCCCTCACTCTCTGTCTCCCTCTCCCCCTCTCTCTGTTTCCCCCTCTTCCTCTCTCACTCGCTCCCCCTCTCCCTCTCTCCCTCCCCTCTTAATAATGTTGCTCACCTCTCCTCTCTCTTTTGTGTTCCAATTTTCCTTTGCTTTTCTTCTCCTTTCCCTCCCTCCATCCCTCCCAATTAATATCCATACATTACCCCTGATACCACACTACATTGTAACCCTCATTTAGAATGAAAATAATACGACCAATCCATATTGCCATGTGTCTCAACTTACAAGTTTTCACACCATACAGAGATTGTCAATCCTTTACAGGCATCTGTTAATAGTAATGAATTGAAAAACGAGATCACATATTTGATGACTAAGCTCGGAACAGCTGTGACCAAACACTGGAAATTTGTGTTCTATTAAAGTTGAATCAGTATACAAAGTTAAATTTGACTATTGACTGTGAAAAATATATCAAGCTCGAAGATGACGTACATTCAAAGACTGAGCGACAAAAAAATGTGGAAGCCATATTTTGTGAATTGTTTGGAAGGTTTTATTGATAGAATAATTGCAAGAAAAATGAAAATTTGATACATTTGAGGTATCTCAAATGTAATAGCAGTCACATAATGGATATTTGTGTAATCTTTGTGCATGATTGGCAAATCTTTGTGATGTTGTTATACAGTGTATTAGATAAACAGGTTCAGAAATACTGGTACATTCAAATAGTTGTCAAGTTTAAATCACTTGATACCTGTATACATGAGTTGGTAAGGAAACTCTAGGAATTTGAGGGAACAAAATCATTCAAATCAAGGAATTTCATTGGCCCAAGGAGAAAGTAATCAGTCTCTTATATTTGGTCTTGATTCCACGAGAAGAAGACATTTTAAGACTCTCATGTTGAACATATGATTGTAACTCAGGCTGGAAATAGGTTAAATTAATGATCCTGGAATATTGAAATTCCATCATGGAAAAATCAGGAGAATATCGATTCTTGTCACGAAATACTGGGAACCCTGTTTTTTTGTCTTCTCTTTTTTGTCTCTTTTTTTTTTTTGGGGGGGAGGGGATGAATTATCACTTAATATTATATTGATGTGTGAATGTAGTTTGTGAACCTGTTTATTGTACTGTAGATGCATGTGTACGTGTATCCCTTGTAGTGGCTGTAACACTCCATCGTCCTATATAGTTGTATTAGTTATTTATTTTTTAGATTACAAACCCTTAGATTCCTTCTATGTTTGTCTTGTTTTCTCCCCCTTTCCCCACTGCAGAAAAACCCCAGAGCTGCCGAAAACTTTGACCCCTATTTCACAAAAATCCCGTGTGCGCTTACCCCGACCGACAAACTCATAATCATGAATATTCAGGAAGAATTCCATGGTTTTACCTTCGTGAATGAGCTCTTCGATAGCTATGTCCGTGGTGCGTCCAGCTAGTGCCAGTCTGTCTGTAGAACCCACCGCTGCTGCTCAGTCCTACAGCCGCCTGGCCTGTGTTTCTAGCATACCCAAATGTCGCCAGTCTGTTCATGTGCTGTTCCTTTTTGTATTTTTTACCTGATGTGTACGTAGAAGGCAGTAGAAGTAGAAGTAGTAAAGAGTGCCTAAATATGGTGAATTGGCATTTCATTTTGTTCTTCAAGTTCGTTACTGGCATTTCAATGAACTATTGATATTAAATGATGTATTTATTTATGTTGGTGTAAATTCTTTCAGAAAACATGTGGTACTAGATTTGTTTCTGTTGGAAAGAGTAATAATTTTCATGAGCAGCATATGATTAATGTTGATGCCCACCTATTGAGCTCTATCTCTCTCTTTTTGTTATGTTTTGTCTGATTATTTCTCACAACTCTCCATAATGCATTTTACATGTAGCATTATAGTCAATTATTCATATTTTGACAATAGTGTCGTAGAGTTTCAGTGAGGTCATTTCAGTTACTAGTGAGTTTCTAAAGAAAAAAACAATCCACCCCTCCCCTACCTCCTTAATCAAATGATGAATAATTATATGGACATCTGTAATAAATACCTCATTTGGTCATCTCAGCATTGCATTATGAGGACACTAGTTTCCAGATGATTAAAATGATTAAAAATTATCAGTTCCAGGTCATTAACATATCATGTGGTGCTAATCAGTCTATATTTCAAATTGTTGCATTTTTTCAAAAAGTGCTTTGTACTGCTGAATAAGTGGATTTACCTTCAAAATCTTAATTTTCCCCGATTGCTATATATATATTGATAGGAAAAGTAAAAGATCAAGCCTGTTAGTTGATAAATATATTTTGGCTGTTTCGCTTATCTTTCTGGAGAAAGAAAGAACAAATTTATGGTGACAACCTTAACCAAGTGCAATGAGCTTGAAATATATATACCCCCACTTTAGTTCAGTGTATCATTAATGAAATAAAGTTCATGATTATTTTTGGCTATGGTCTGTATTTCTTAATGTACTGTATCGAGCTGTGTTCGCACTGTAAAGTTAGAGTGCATGTGGTCCGAATTTGTGTTTACACCAAGAAATGAAACATATATATATATATATTATGTAGATTTACTGAGGTGAAGTTTCCTCCATGTTTCTGATGTTCTAGGGATGTTGGCTGTTTTTGTATTTTTGAATGCTGTGTATAAAAGAAGCTTGTGCCATCCCTTTGCTTTTGTATTCCTACTCAAATCATGTCAAATTAATTGATGTAGCTTTTACATGAGGTTACTTTAAATGATGTTTTGATAATGTGTGTCCTAAACGAGTACTGTATTTGCAATGTATTAAAAACCCTGCCGTGTGAAGGCTTCCTCTTGCTAAATATGTTATTGTGCTTTATTTCTGGTAGTAGTTTATTAGTTGAAATGTTACTGGGATATAAAACTGTTAAGTAAAATACTCTTTAGTATTCAGTTGACAGAGGCATTATTTCTTTTTCTTTTTGTCTTCTTTATCCCCCTTTTTTTAAGAGTTTCTAATTTGTGTAGTAATGTAATTGTATATGAGTTCAATTACTAAACATATGTTAATTTACCTAGCTGCATTCCACTTAACTAACAACCAAATAAATGAAATATATGTATATGTTTTGATCACCAACCCACATTCCATCAGGAAAATATGCATGTATGGTATATATTTTAGGTCTGAAATAGCATGTATGGTACCAGGGATAGGTCTTAAGTAGTGAAGTTTAACAACATTTATGGTAGGTCTAGAATACACAGGTGTTCTATCTATTTGTCTCCTCTGATAGAATATATAATATGCTTTTGATAAGTGCTGCTATAGTTATAGAGATTAGTCAATAATAATATTATATTCCTCTATCAATGAGGTATTTATTCCATTGTAATTTGAAATAAACCGATTCGTGGCTTTAGGGGTCCTCCTAAAAAGTAAATGTGAGATAATTTTATAATTTTTGGTCTTCAATTTTGAGTTTGTTGCATCTCAGAGTGGCAATTTAAGTTTTGATAATCATACAGGTTGTTGCCGGTGATGAGAAATTTGTTCCAATTGTGTAATAATTATAAGACTTTTATGATGTGTGTACATATAGAATATCGAGAATTATCAATATGAATAGCGAATCGACACATTCAAAAGGACATTGTCAGGGCCATAATAGTACTATGCATATATGTTCTTTTGAGTACTCTTAATGTTGATTTTAAATGATTTGCTTGGTATAAAATACTAAAAAAAGTACATGTATGATTTATTGTTAGTTGTGGATGTGCTTTTTATTATGGCCTCTCTCTATACATTTCTTTTAGCCATTAAGTTTTCATGTTTGACTATTCACCATTTTATACAACGTGTAATACAAGATGTAATACAAATTACAGGATGTTTTCATGAAACAGATGTCAGGTTTTATTTTTGGTTTCATTTCAACTTCCTCATTTCAACTTGCTCATCATACAGTCATATATTTTGTATCAAATGTGAATTTCAGTTAAAATATATTCTTGTTTTGCCCCCCCCCCCAATCCTCCATTTTTCTTCACATATTTACCTCCCACTGTACAGGGGGGACCTCGAGACTTATGCAATTTCGATAAGGAGTTTACGCGGGAACCGACGACCCTGACTCCGACCGACAAACTGTTCATTATGAACCTGGATCAGACAGAGTTTGACGGTTTCTCCTATACAAATGAAGCATATGTTACTCAATAAGGATAGCCTTGCATGGCCAAGATCAATTGTATTTAATATGTACATGTGTGTTTAAACTTGTATGTAATGAAAACCAGTTAGGTAATGTGTCATGCATGTTTTGAGTAAATTCTAGATGTACTACCCCTTCCCTCTTTCCCCAGAGATAGATATTCTTTCATTTTCATAGATACATATATATAAATATATATTAGCACATTCTTCATGATTTTATTATTTTATATGTTATATTGAATTAGTTTTTATTCTATTATGGATCTCAAACATTCCTGTTATAACATACATGAAGCACAAGAAGAGAAACAGCTCGCCTGCATGTGTTTTTTTATGTAGAATACATTTTGTTTATGAAAGAAAGAAAGAAAGAAAGACAAACATGGCCATATGCTGAAACCAATACCTGTGTTCTTGTTTAAAAATTTTCTCTCAAGATCTATGAGCTTTCTGATGCAACAAAATACAGTTGATTTGTGTTTAAGCATTGCAAAAAAGACTATATAATATTTCTCTGATCTCCCAGTTTTAAGTTTATATTTGATATGCTGAGTACACTGGTAATTAATAACATTTCAAATCAAAGGGAGCAATTATGTCTGTAAACTGACTTACATCTCAGCTTGTATCACTTTGAACTTTGTTGTTTTGCTTTTGCATCAACTTTGGAGCCGGGAAGATGATCCTTCATACATTTAGTTTGATTTGAATAAATCTTTAAAGGGGGTTACACTTTCCTGAGGAGTTGAATTGTTAGTATTCCGGCGACAAGAACAATTTACAAATTCAGCAATTATAAATTTCAAGTTTAGAATATTGATATTAATGGTCTATAATTCATACCTGAAGTTATGGAGGCTATTGTGTCATCTTATTGTGTTGAATGTCTAATCCCCTCCCTATGGGAACTAGATGTCCCTGTATTAAGCCTATGGGGATTAAAGAATTCAGTAGTCTTTGGATTAACACTGACAAAGAAATTTAAATGTTTTTTGTGAGCGATAAGACAAAGAACATAGACCTACACTGATTTGCAATCAGGATTTCAATCTCTCAGAATTTTAGGAGATTTTTTATATGAGCATCCCCCTTTTTCCCCCTTATTGCATGCAAATAATCAACATTTAAAACGAGTCTTTCCCTTTGAGAATAGCTACATTTTAATGTCCAAGTAGCTGCAGAATATCATCCACTACCTTGAGTTTAATTATTATCAAATTACACGACAGCTTGATATCAAATCGTATTTAAAAAAAATTATGTCTACACACACCTCCAGCACAGAATTATTATTATTATTTTGAAAGCTTTCATCAATATTTTCTCCCAAATATCAACCTTGCAATATAATGTGTAGAATTACTTGGATTCCTGGAGTGTGACAGCTTTTTTCTGTATAAAATTATGTTGGCTGCATTTTTGAGTTATACAATCATATTATAGTACTTTGAATGTATCATCAATGAAATGAATTGAGGGCTGTAAATAATTGAATACTATATAGTCAAGATATATATTGATCTTTAGATCTATTCCAAATTTATATATCTGATGGCAGACATTGTTATTATATACTCTTATATGTCATAGTGACTTATTTCTTTCACTTTGTTTTCAATAGAAAGATGTAGAGTAGACCTTAGATCTATGAATAGACCTTTTTACAAGAAAAAGGTAAAAAATGTATTTACAAAAATATGGGCGAGAGAAGAATTGAGCAATTTATGAACTTGATTGTAGTGACTAGAATTAATAGAAGGTTGAGAAAGTAACATACTAAAGTATATATGATTTATGTACTGCATATGATAACTATAGCACATATATGATATATTGCATTATGTTTTAGAGATGATTACCTTTGTAATACAATATGTAAATAGTATAATAATCATACTTTTTTTCTCTCTTTGTGTGTATAATGTATTTTTCTGATGCTTATACTTTTCATGCACAGAAAATACAAGTTTTTCCATAATTATGTCTTTTTGTGTTACGATACTTTTTTTTTTTTTAGTTGGAAGTTTTGCTTTTCTATTAAAGTAAATGTTAATAACGGTTTGGAAATCATTGATTGATCAGTTATATTTATACAAGGGAACGGTACAATTATGGAATAGCAAAATGTTCAATAGAGAGATACACAGTATGTATGTTTATGATTATCTCATGTACTTTGTTGCATATAATATAGCAGATAGTGAGTTAAGTTGTTATGTCCAGTAAAAAGAATATACTGGACTATCTTTTTAGACCAAACTTATATTCATGGAGCTCTTCTCACTTCTATTCTCTCTTTTCCTCCTCCCTTCTCTCTCTCTCTCTCTCTCTCTCTCTCTCTCTCTCTCTCATTCTCATTCTCTCTCTATGTCAATTAGTTTAATTTTGCTCTTTTTATTTCTGTTAATTTAATGGTTAATTTTGTATATATGGGACAATTTATTTACGGTACTCCTTTATTATACCTTATATAATTCCTTTATCAGAACTTAAAAGTGCTTGTGCAACATTATCTAACAAATCATGTGAAAGTGTATTATGTGAATATATCTTTGTAATTCAGACAGACTATGGTTATATAATTATACAACTTTTAAGTACATACAATATATTAGTATAGAACCTTGCTTATCTCAATATGAGACATGGTCGAGAATTATGAAGTTAGTGAAATAACGTTTCATTAACTTAGAGTTTTCTATCTACTGTACCTTGAAGAAAATAGTTTGTTGGGAAAATATCTTGTATTTCAGCATTTAAGATTTATCAAGTCAAGATTAGATGACTAATAAGTGAGACCTCGTGAAGACATTATTGTCGATGTCGGAGCATGAAGAAACATTTGTGCTCGGTGACCTTATATTTCATTCTTTGATGCAATACTTTTGATTATGAAAAATGAAACCATTTTATGTTTGTGTTTTCATGAATATATATTTGCTTGTTGCCTCTATGCCTCTGTTGATTAAAGAATGTATCCAAGAATTAGGATAGAAAATCCTGAATCTAAACTACATGTATAAATGTGCAACAGACAAAGCACGCTGGCTAAGATGGGGTGCAATGGGTCATTTGTAAAGCTGACCTTGGAGGTTGGGTCGTGGGTTCCAAACCAAGTCAGTAAGCTAGTGATCATTGGTAGCCATTAATCCTCATTACTAAGTCCCTCTTAGACAGATGAGCCATCCGTCACCCGATTGCTCATCTACAAGAATACACGTGCTTTCTTAGCAGTCGGGTAAAACATGTCAGCACCATATTGCAGTATCCTTTGCAGGCTTGTAGGAACATATCTTTCTATATCTTCACAACCAGAACAGAGTCTCATTTGATAAAGACATATTTTTGTCTGTAGGATTGTTGAATTAAGGTTCTTTTATCATTGATAAACATGACAGAAGATTGCCAGTTTGTTGTCTGTTGTGTAATTAATGTCAAAAAAAATTATCATCAAGGAATACCAGCTCAATGTTTGATAGGTAAGCAGAGTGATGGCAGTTAGTACATTCTTAGAAACCACCGGCTACTTCTTCTCCCATCGGTGTTTATTGTCTGTCACTTGAGATTTTTGTCCTCAAGACAGAAATATTAACCCTCTAAAAAAATACCATGTTTAAATGAAACTTTAGTGTTTTGCAATTCAATTTTAAAATACTTGCAACAAAGTGGTGAGAATTTAGTAGCATATGGAGGAAAGATGTATTGCAGAGATGCGTGTTGAATACAAATTAAAAGAAGAATGTGTACAATTATTTTTAAGTGTTCAAGCATTTCTAAGGCAGCAAAAAAATATGATTTTATGCTTGTTCAATGAGTTGATGAAAACTTTGGAAACAAGTACAATGGAACCTCATTATAACGGGGTACTTAGGATTATGGAAATTACCTTGTGATAACAGGAATCTTGTTATATCAGGGTTGTAACAAAAAGAGTATAAAGACCTGTGATCAGCAAAATCCAAGCTCTTCATAATGAGGTTCCACTGTACCTGTGGGTTCTTGGTAGATGGGCTAGTAAGACCCTTTTTGTTCTGAACATACACATCTTATGGCCTTATGACTGCCCAAAAATCATGACTGAAAATTAATGGCATTTTCAAAAGTACCGTGTATATATATATGGCAGTGGCATTCTGTCGAGACTTCTGATCATACTGAAAATCATGTGTGAAGAATAAGTACATGTAGAGTGAAGTTGTTTTGACAACAAGAAAGTTGAATGCTTACAAACGGTATATGCACTTTTGTTTTCTATGCTATGTGTTAAATATTATAGTGAATACTTGGATATCTGAGGTCAAGATATTTCTATTTCGAGTCTGAAGGATGTATTTCTCTGCTATAGATCATGGCAAAGATAAGGATATCTAATTGAGTGCATGTTCATGCATACCACAACAAAATAAATTGTGAACTAGCCATTATACATGTTATGGAGTTGGTTGTACTGATCTCGATAAAATATTATACCTATATAAAATGTGGAATGAAATAGTGACAAAATATTGTTTTTGCACTAAAAATAAATATATATGAAAACATGAGGCTTCTTGTATGGTGGAGGATAAAAATCAAGAAAAATTCTTCTGTATGAATGAAGAAAAAAAAAAGTATCCTTAATAAAATCTTGGTGGCTGTTCTGGAAAAGAAAATAAATTAACCAGTGTGTCCGTGTCTTGTTGTGAAGTCCCAACTCTGTCAACTTAAATTGTTTTCACCTTCCTTTTTCTCTCTCTCTCTCTCTATTCTCTCCCTCTCTATTCTCTCCCTCCCTCTCTCTCTCTCTCTCTCTCTCCATCTCCCTCTCTCTCTCTCTCTCCATCTCCCTCTCTCTCTCTCTCTCTTCATCTCCCTCCCTCTCTCTCTCTCTTCATCTCCCTCCCTCTCTCTCTCTCTCCATCTCCCTCTCTCTCTCTCTCTCTCTCTCCATCTCCCTCTCTCTCCATCTCCCTCCCTCTCTCTCTCTCTCCTTACTCTCTTTCCTCACTCTCTCTTCTGTTTGTATGTGCGAAGGAAATAACATATACATGTACGTGAGAGAACAAAAGCAAGAGAGCAAAAGATGAGGATGAAATGGTGTAATAAAAGCTAGAGGGTCTTGTTTAATTATTCATGTTTTGATTAAATGGCAAAACTGAACAGAGCAAGACTTGATATCCAGAGAGAAGATCTTGGAAGAAATTTGTAGCTAGAGAAGATAACAAAATGTTTAAAAATGTGTATTTTCCATTTCTATTTTGCATATAAACTTCATTATACAAAAGACAACAGACATGTTAATCAAATCACATGGGCACAATTCCATTTAATCTCCATTCAAAATGGTATGGCAAATAATAATACATGTATATCTATTATTTCACAACCTTTTTAAAGATATGAACTGTCCACATTTAGGTAGGTTCTTCAAAGACGGAGTCAGAAATGTTCTTTTTCGATAGATATCAATTTAAAGCATTCACAATATATCTTAACATACAGATTTGAAATTGTTAAAATGGGATTCACCTACACTGTACATACTGAACTCACTAACCAATGAAATCTGATTCAAATATCTCTTACATCATAGCTCAAGACATTCTGATTTGGGGGAAATGGTGGCGACCACTAACTCCAAAATATACAATTTACAGTTCCAAATTCAAGCCTGTTCCGTTTCATGTTATTGAAATACTTTTACCATGGTAGTCTGGACTTTTTGTAACTTCAAGAGGGAATATTCACAAACGTACACTGCATGTTGACGAAAATAAATGACTTTTCCTTTAATCGATATTAATTCCATTTACAGTATCAATAGAGCTTGCAGTCCCTTAGACAGGTACTTCTGTTGGTGGTTTTAAATGTATATTTTTCAGAAAGTTGTAATGATCTTGTTAATGGACTAATGATCCAATCATCAAATTCACTGATCAAGTTCGTTTATACATAGTTGTCTTGAACAGAATACAGGCTGTCTACTCCAGGACAGCACATCTCACTCCAAATGGTAAACATTTGCATTTAAAGCCCCACTGCACTACTTATAGCTACGTGCGCCCTCTTTATATCAAACAATGCCTAATCGGTGACCATTGGTCCCCCATGATTCTCTTTTTCTTATGTTACTTGAGAGCTGATTTGATGAGATAACCACCTGTCAGTGACCATGCAGGGAGGTCTAATCCCTCCTGTCCAAACTAGTGCAGTGGGGCTTTAAAACATCCCTTGATAGAAACTGGTCAACAGAGGTTACAACATAATCGCAAACCCTTATGACCTCTACACAAAGGTTATGATATAGTCTGCCCCTCCACTTTCAGTGTCCATATGCAGAGCTTGCCTGACATATCACCTGGGAATTTCAAAGTCGCCTATGCGTTTACCCAGTACATTGGCTCCAGGAACCTGATAGCCTCTGTGTCTGTATCCTCTACTGGTTTTGATATCGAGGAGAAGAGGTTCCTCCACCTCCGTTCCTTTGATGACCCCTTCCTCCTTGAGCATGGCGGCCAGGAGGGGCGGCATGGCCACCTTGTTGGGCACCTGGTGGAAGTCCTCCTCCTTGGGTTGGTAGGCACAGAACTCGTCCTCCTCGCTCTTGCGAATGAGCTTCCACTCCCGCTTCCACCAAGCCCCTACCTTGATCTCCATTCCATCGCGTGAGTAACCTGAAGGGAGTCAGAAAGGAGGTAAGTGATAATTAATACAAAATATTAAATGGAAAAGTTACAGTGGACCCCATTATAGAAACAGAATGATAGCAACCATTGTAATAACACAGCAATTTCGCTGGTCCAACGTCTTTATATTCTATTATTTGTTTATCCCTAATAAGTGATATTAAACAATTTCCAATTCACGAGGTTATTTCCTTGGTCCCAAGGATTAGTAAGAAAAAATTCCACTATGCTATTTTACATTATAACATACCGTAGTCATTTAAGTGGTTGAACTATCAATCAATGTGTTTTAGTTTGTATTTTTACAATTCTCTAAAAATTACGAAAATTGATCAATGTTTAGTCAGAAAAAAATTCACTTTCATGTTCTGTCTGAATAATAGGAATTTCTTTGTCACACATAGTATCCCACTTGAGAACTACTTTCCCGGCTAATCCTGCCCCCCCCCCAAAAAAAAAAAAAAACAAAAACAAACAAACAAACAAACAAACAACAACAAACACACACACTGTTATCAAAGTGTTGTACTTTTCCTCAAAAAGACAAAAAACAAAGATTTACCTCTCATTGTTGGTATTCCCCATGCTTCCCCTTGGCCTAGATTCTGAAAGAGAAGAGAAAAGACAATACTGTTATATATATTATACAGGAATAAGAAAGGAGACAGCTAAGACCTGAAAATTGGAGGACTATAACAACTCCTGAAATGTGATTACAAAATCATAGCAGCTGTTTTAGCACATAGGTTACCAAAGAGTCAACAATTAATTGACCCAAACCAACCTGGTTAAATGTTAAAGGTCGTCTTGCAGCGCACAAGTATGTTGAAGTGAAATATAACTGGAGCAATTATGATGGTAGATTTCATTAAGGCATTTGATGCTTATTGATGTGCTTTTTGTAAATAACTGTTTTAAAAAAAAATTGAATTGGGGAAAGTAAATTGACAAAACTACAGAAACTCCTGGATAACTGGAGAAGCACAAATCTTACATTATTGTCGATGTTGCCGTTGTCATTGTTTACTCACTTGTCTGAAGTCAAATTGTTCACTTAATGATATTAGATACAATTCCACCAAATTTTCTGAAGAAACTGAATAAATTATTATTCAACTGCATTTGGAACTCCAAAATCGAAAGGATAAAATGATTCAGCCTTACTCCAGAATTTAGCCAAGAGGGGGGGGGGGGGGGGGGGGGGGGGGGGGGGGGGGAGGGGGGGGAGGGGGTATTTATGATTGACACTGAGAAACAGAAGTTGAGTTTTCTTTTAAGATGTCTAGGTAGATTATTGGATGACAGTATAGGTCCATGGAAAGATATGAGTAATTACTGGAATGATTCTCTCAGTGGCATAATGTATTTCTGTTCAACTGTAAGTAACTATGACCATGAATTATGAAATGTCCAGAAACTGCAACTTCATGATTTCTACTTTGGAAAGTCTTTGGGTGATTCAAATGTCAGACAAATGATTTTACCATACATGGGCAACAGACAGAGTATTACATCAAGCATGATGATCATAAACTGAATCCTAATCCTGGTGATTAACAACACTTGTTATATTAGGTAAAACAAAAAAAACAGTGTCAAATTCCTCATGAAAGCCCACTTTTATGTGTCTTTAATACTGAATTTTTCTGCAATAGAGTGTATGCTAAACAAAATGTTAGTCTTCCGGAATAAATACAGTTTTAATGAAAATAATAAGCCATTGGAGTTAAGAAAATATGTGTTTTATATTGATAAAATTGTACTTCAATTTAATACATTTGTTCTCACAACCATATTTTAATGTTTGAATGTCAATAAACACTAAAACAGTAGTGACAACAGAGTTGAGGCACACGCACCAATAAAATACTGGTTAGATTTGTTAAAAAAACATGAAGAAAAAATGATAAGGCATCACTTTTCAGCAATAGCTGCGCGCATGGGCACAATGATAATTATCAGATCTCAATTTTTCACTACGGTCCCATATGTTGATTTTCATGTATCTCTTTCATAGGTTTGGACGTGTTTCTTTCCATTAAACGCCCGTTTTTCACCTTTAAGAAGTAGCAATTTCTTACAGTATCATTTGAAAAATAACTACGTTCTTACCAAGCTTTCACAATCCACTTTTACCCGTGTAATTCGGATATAACTCGGTTGATCTGGACGCCAGTGTTGCCATCTCGTTCTCGTCACAATTCGACCAACTCCGAAGTTTGGAAGTTGATTGAGAAGGTCAAAAAGACTTTTCCCTGTTCGCCAGGGATGCGCATGTACTGCCATGATTCACTAAATGTCAGATATAAGGAAGGTGGCAGCTGAAAGTCTTTATTTAAGAAGTAGGCCTATACTCTATAGTTTATTTGTAATAAATGAATCGGGCAGTGTTTCGCTGATTCTCCTCTGCCATCCATTCAAGAATATAATGACGTTGCCGGAGATGGCGCTTTACGACATTTGGCTGAGATGAAAATTTCCTGATGAGTGATGAGATATAAGTTCTTCTATCGCATAATAACTTAAATTCCTTATTCAAAAAGACAAGTAACAGTCATAAAATAATTGTCTTTTTTAATCAGGCTTATCATTGGATAAGTGCGCCACTTTTTTCAGACCTACTCACAAACTCAAGTAGATCTTCGTGATATTACAATGCCATAAAACATTGGAATTCCCTTTCTTATGATATAAAGGAAATAGAAAACTATGCTCATTTGAGGAAATGAAAGGAATACCTAACACTTGAGAGTCAGAGAAGAGAAGCGAATGACATGTTATATGATTGAATTTTGTATTCTTCTGCCGGTTCATACTTTTTCATTTTAGTATATATTTATGTTTTTGTACGTTATAGAAATTATACAATTATTTTCTTTTTTCTTCCTCCTCCTCCTCCTCCTCCTCCTCCTCCTCTTTTTCTTCTTCTCCTTCTTCTTTTTATTTTTGTACTTATTATCATTTCTATCATTACTTTATGCTGTTATTATTATCATCATCATTATTATCTTTAATACATTTTTGTTCTTTCTTACCTGTCTGTAAATACTAATATTTTAACTTATTATTGACTGTGTACATGCCTGGAAATAAGATCTCGAGCTTTCGTGGGTTATCCTGTTCAAGCTAACTTAATTTTAATCTGTTATTCTTGTATATTGATGCATGTTTAAAGCTTGACGAATAAAAATCAATAAATCAATCTTTTTTCCTCACATGTTCACATTAAACAGTATATAAGCTATTTTTTCGTCTTTTGTTTGTCATTGAATAGCTCCTTTATATAAGAAAATATCCCATATATAGCACCCTTTTCTGAAATTCGTCTTGGATGATACGATGAGGAAGATGATTTCCCCTACAGGCCTATAAAGCTAGCTATAACAATTTATTTATTTATTTATTTATTATTATTATTATTATTAACAATTAACCTTGACATATCCTCTTTCCCGTTCATTTATATCATAGTATGTACATGTATTTGGTTTAAAATGTACCAGGACAATTATGTCATTCCAACCTTAAAATTTCTACTGAATAAAAAAATCACACCATCATATTCCTTTGCCTTTTGGTTTAAAGTGGTTTTATCCGGGGGTTTCATCCAAATATGAATATGAATATGCCACGGCATTTTGGATTAGAAGTAACAATCGTCGCATGATTCTCAAAGTAGCCGTGCAAGTTCTCATAAGAATAAAAGCGAGGGAGAAAGAGATGGAGAGAGTTAGAGAGAGAGATAGAAAGAGCTATAAAGTGATGGGTCGAGAGGGGGCGTAAATAAATAAAAGTAATAATTTAACCTATAGGCCTACATGCAAAATAGTGGTTTATCTGTAGATCATCATTTTGTGAACATAAAATCAAGACCTCTCAGGCCATTTGAGTTCTTTGATATGAGATATAGCCACTTCTCTCACCGCCCCCCCCCCCACCCCCTCGCCCGTTCTCCCCTAAAATAATAATGTAATGGTGATGCTAATAATAATATTGATATTAACAATAATAACATTAATAATAATAATGATGATGATAGTGATAATAATAATAATAATGATGATAATAATAATAATAATAATAATAATAATAATAATAATAATAATAATAATAATAATGGTAATACTAATGCAGTGATGCTGATATTGATAATAACTATAATGATGATGAATAAGATGAATATAATAAGGCACCAGATCAACTTACAATCGAATACTGAAGGCGCATGATCGAGTTCAAAAGTTGAAACCAACCATTGTATCGTGGATCCGTGTTATACAATTACTACCGTCCGAGTTAGGCACATTAAATTTGTTCAACAAATATGTTCAAAAATACTTTTAATTATTGTGATATTTGAATTTCGCAATCCCGTTGACTTTTGCCATGAACATAATCAATGTAATGACAGACTAAATAAGATAATGTGTAGAATATTTTAAAACTAATTTAATCAATTGTTAGCAGGGTGGTTGATAAGGGTGGGTCGTATTTGGTTACCTAGGGATGGCAGGGGAAATTTGAATAGACTTTAATGATTTTTGTTTTTTGTTTAATTTAATTTAGTTTAGTAAATAGTAGGCCTACATGTACAGTGTATTTTAATTAAACATTACCATTGTGTTAAATCATTTCATATTGGACTACATGGTAAATCGAACAGAGCCATTTGGTTAATGGCTCTGAAATTGACTATCCGTGATCGTTTTATCATTCTATTATTGTTCTTTGATTTTGTTATATTGTTTAATTGTTTTGAATATAATCAAACAAACAAACAAACAAATTAATATATATTTACACAAAAGTACCGTTTGAGTAGCATACGCCGCAGAGAAACTAGAAGAAAAAGTACAATAATAATTATAAGCCAAAGCAAAAAAAAAGTTTCTCTATTGTTTTTTATCAGTACGACTGTTCGTAATGTTAAGTAATGAAGCAGGTACGCATACCTCATTTGGGGAACAGAGTCTACTAAAAATGTGAAAAAGAAAAGAGGGACAGAAAGAAAAACCTACAGAGCATGATTTCACTACAGGGGGGGGGGGGTATGACCCCCCCCCCCCCTCCCAGTCAGGATACTGATATTGTCGGTAAAACTGCGCTGCCGTCGGGGAAAATGAGAAAAGTGGTAGGGGGAAATGAAAAGGAAAGGGAAAGAGAAAAAAAGGAAAAGAAAGGAAAGAAAGAGAAAAAAAGGAAAAGAAAGGAAAGAAAGGAAAAGAAAGAAAAGAAAGAAAAGAAAGAAAAGAAAGAAAAGAAAAAGAAGGAGAAAAGGAAAAAGAAGAGAACTTAGGAGAAAAAAGGAAACAAAAGAAAAGAGGAGAGAGAGAGAGAGAGAGAGAGAGAGAGAGAGAGAGAGAGAGGAGCGGTGAGAGCATGAGAGAGGAGGGGTGGGAGTAAGAGAGAGAGAGAGAGAGAGAAGGGGTTGTTGGGTTGTTGCTTTAATAATTTAATGAAACGTCAATGGTCTCGTAATACCGTCAACGGGTTCAAAACCAAGTCGGTAAGGCATTACTCCTCATTACTATAGGTCCCTCGGAGAGGACTTAAAGCCGTCATTCCTATGGTTGCTTACTAACAAGCATTTACGCTTTCTTAGCAGTCAGGTAAAATAACCACCAAATCACCAAATAGAAAATCATGCAAATTGATTAGTACGCCGAATTTATCATGGAAATATAGTAAATAGTTCGTATTCCTCCTCCTCCTCCTCCTCCTCCTCCTCCTCCTCCTCCTCCTCCTCCTCTCCTCCTCCTCCTCCCCTCCTCCTCCTCCTCCTCCTCCTCCTCCTCCCCTCCTCCTCCTCCTCCTCCTTCTCCTCCTCCTCCTCCTCCTCCCCCTCCTCCTTCTCCTTCTCCTCCTCCATTTCCCCCTTGTCCTTATCATCATTTCTATCATCAGTTTAATGTTGTTATTAATATTATTATCATCATTATTATCTTTAATAACTTTCTTTTGTTATTAATATCTGTCTGTAAATGTAACTATTTAATTTATTAATTTATTAATAAGCTCTCGTGTTTTTCGTGGATTATTCCGTTCAAGTTGACCTATTATTCTTGTACGTTGGAAGCTTGGCGAATAAAAATCATTCAATCACACAGTACATGCATGCTGGACGAGTTTGATGCTAGACGATTTTTATAACGTACGAAATTTTACGGAGACGCATATTTTTCCGATCAATGCTGGCGTGAATTTCGATCGCTTAGATTCTCCATTATTTGGGCAAATTTAGAAGCTTTGATGTGTAAAACGTAATACACATGTGCTTTAGTACTTGTTGCATTGATTGAAAATATTATTGCCCTGAAAGAAAGTCCAAAATGTCAAATTTTGCACCATTGTCTGGTCCTTTCGTTCATGACGGAATCCTCTTTTCGTGCGAATTGTAACCATGCCAACGATACCCGATTTTCATGTAAGTTACTATTATATTGTAATCTTTGGTTCAACTGCAATTTAAATGTCAGCAGCTGTTTGTAATGAATGATTCTGTATATATATTTTAGAGCTCTTATGTTCGTCTTTCAAGTCTTGCCAAAGCCAATGGCAATGAATCTTTTTATTAATATTAGCACAGTACAGTCCCATGTGTTCCTTTATGTGTGTGTTGCAGGCCTAGACCTAGGCCAGGGCTAGGCTAGAGTAAAGGAGCCCGTAATCGGCCAGCTCCAGTTTTCGGCCGATTGGTTGGATGCAAGGTAAAATCACTCTAAAATACATCGCATAATAGCATAACACATATCCCACACATACCATACCATGCCAGTGTCACTGAAGAACCACATTTGCAATGGAAAATATATCCTAAAATATCACATTTTAGAATTTACCGATGTAATCGCCGGTCCCGCTACCCAAATCTGAAAAATCGAGTATCTTACGCGTGTCTGTAAGAAATATGGGTACCATAAAATGAGCTTTATTTCAAGTATTTTTCAGATTTAAAGCCCGATTTTGTGCTAGTCGCAAGCTCAAAAGTATGTCATCGCATGTATTAAATCAATGCAGCCGCGCACCGCGACGCACACACGATATCTCTGTCTAATTCAGATTCCAACTTCCGATCACCGCTGTGCCTGTCTTCGGCCAGGCGAGCACCAGGGAGCTCCGGCGTGGGATACCTGCTCCGCCCGCTTGTGCTGTACATCAGCGCGGAAACGCACGGCGAGCGCTTCCTATTGGCTTTGTACATGCGGCCGTAAACTGAAACGCTCGGCCGATAACGGGCTCCAAAACAGTGAAAATTGAAATGAATATTGTCATGGCAATTCGTGATTTTTTTTCTGGGATTCTTTTTTTGTTTAAATAATAATAATATTTGCTTCATGATTTGAACAAGAAATGATAATAAGTAGGAAGTAAAGAGTCCTAAAAATAGGATTTTGTCTTAAGTGGCCGAAAACGGGCTCCTTTACTCTATGTGAATCTAAATTAAGCGAGGGGGGGGGGGGTGTCACACAAAGTTATCCATTATCCCAAAGAATACTACGCACTGGGATACCTTAGGCTTTAGTGCAGTGGTAGTTGTTCTAGATTCATGTGCAACTCACACGAACATTGCTGTTAGATTGTTCAAATGTGGGATGTTCTGTTCATGCTGAATATGCTCTCACACTTCTTAATGCAGGACGACGACTATTCCGACGATTCTTTTCGTTCTGATATTTCTGAGGACGAACTTAGAGTAAGCGCTCCACCAACACCCAGCAGCAGGGGGTCATCCCCTCCCGTCGGCCGGGCTCGGCCAAGGGGAAGAAAGGTGCGGGAAGGGAGAAGCCTCGTAAGTACCCCTTTGTCTTCTGTTTCTGTCCCAAAGAGTTTTATATTGTCATTGTTATAAACACCCACATTGCATCTTGAATCTATGTGTTTAAATCATTGATTAAATCAACATCAAGGTGACAGGGGTACAAATTGTGATCAATTCAAGATTCAAGATGTATGATTGCACATTATATTCATACAAAGTTTCTTTATTTACTTATACATTTTTATTTTGTTTAATCTAATGATTGTACTGAAGTAACTAATGCTCCTAAAGTTGAGATAGAGGTCTACATCTAGCTACTATTTTTTTTTTTTTGGGGGGGGGGGTTGGGGGTGCATTATCTGTAAAGCAGTGCTAGCATTATACTGTAATGTAAACATTCCTTTATTTACTGATAGTATTAAATAGAAGTTTGTTGGCCTTTATCTGATTATGTTATCTCTCTGTAGTATTTATTCCTCCACATTTTTGTTCGTTCTTTAGCTTACCAACAAATAATACATATATTTGTTCTAGGCTTATCCAGATTTTCCGTAGTAATTTGAGGTTGCAAGGTATATTTCTTTTTAAAGATGAGCTTGTACTACAATTGTCATACAAATACAGTCTAGATTCCAGGTGAAGTTGATGTCTGCCCTCTCAGCAAGAATTTGATGGTCTAAGTCTTGAGAATGTTGCCCAGTATAAAACTTATATTCTTCTTCTCTTGGGTGATAGAGGAATACCGGTATTCTGTTTAATCCAAACTCCAACTTACTCTACCCAAAACTGCATCTTAAATACTGTAAACGTGGAAATATTTGTGGTACATTAAATTTTGCGGATTTCACGCTAAGATCGACAAGCGCAAAGTTTAGAAATCACACAAATATAAGCAAGACTTCTTATGTGTGTTTTGAACAGGCTGAATTGCATGTTATGCCAATTTAAGAACCGCTGAATATGTTTTGGGGTCGCTCAGCCCGAAAAATTAATCATGTAAAAATAACAGCGTTTACAGTAGGTGAAAAACTCTCAAATTTGGAACTAGGTTAATGTTTCTTCTACTACAACTAGCTTTCCTTCAATCATATATTATCCCACTGTACATCATTCTTCTTCTTCTCTCTAATTTATTCTTTGCCACAGCCTCACCCTACCTAGTTACAGCTGGTTCGAAGAAGCACAAAAGCAAGAGCAGCCACGCAGTTGGTTCCAAGACACCAACCGGTCTTAAATCAGCCAGGGAATACTGGTTAGACGGACTCAAGAGTGGAAAAGGAGGTGAGCAGCAAAACAAAAAAATTATGGTGGACTTTCATTTTAAAATTGATTGTAATATTGGAATTAAGAACACCAGGGGCCCATTTCACAAAGCCTTTTTTCTATGACAAATGACTAAGATTAGTGGCAAATCTGCTGATAACCAATCAGAAGCAAGGATTTCAGTAGCTTATAACAAAACTGTCATTTGTCACTGATGACAAGTTTTGTGAAATGCCTTCCAAGACTCAGAAGAAGGGGGATCTATCAGATAGGTATACCAATCCGGTTTACAATTATTGCTTGTAATCATCAGTGTGATCAGACAATTCTGTCTTCATTTGATGATATTTTACTTTTTTAGGACTTTGACATTTCTGTGAAATGGGAGTAAGGTGATTTATTACACATTTTTTTTTTCTTTTTTTTTTCTTCTTTTTTGTTGTTGTTGTCTTTGTTTTATACCATGAATTAGATAATTAAAACTACTTTTTTCTGTATTAAAACCATTCCAGGTCTAACAGGTTGTTCTAAGAGTAGCAACTATCTTGGAGTACCGAAGAAGGCCCCAGCATTTTCCAGCACCAGTGACTACCTAAAAGAGACAGTGCTCAACATGCATCCCAGGAAAAGCTCCAAGAGTAGGGCTATGGTCAGCGGTAAGTCCTACAGGATTCCAAAATACTGTTACTTTTCTGTTACTTTTTGGGACTAGCGAATTATTGCTAGGTACGCACTTCTGTGGAATCACACCATATTCTGATAATAATGCTAATGGTAACGGAATTGCCCGTCTTCCAAAGGTGGATTTGTCCAGGTTCCGGGTTGTAAAAAATTATGTTAGCGTCAGTATTTTAAGGCCATATGACAGACAGTCTACAAGGTCAATTCTGTTAGCTGCTGGAAAATGTTTTATTATACAAGCTTGATACATTCCGATGGGGGATGAATTTCTGATTTAGAGAAAGGGTCTATTTCTAAGGTCTGACAAAATATTTTTAAACTTTGGCATCGATGTATATTTGGTAATTTATTTTGTATATGTTATTTGTTCTCTTCTGTTAAACAACAGACCCCATACACAGGAACATGAAAGGTGTTCCATCGTACAAACCCCAGGAAGAGATGTACGATGAGATCCTGGATCTCAAGAAGGTAAGCCCAAATCATACAGCAGCAACATAGCAAGGGTCAAGGAGATCTATAGTTCAAAGCCAGTTCAATTATGGATATCTGACATTCGATGTAACAACATTTGCCCTGGGCTTTGCTTTGTCAAATATGTAGGGTTAGGGCTTGTGTTGCAGTTTGGCTTTAATTGTTCATGTTCTAGAGTTAGGTGTAGGGTTGGGTCTATGGTTTTTCTCATTCTTTAGTCTTTCTCCTCTCTCTCTCTTTCTCTCTCTTTCTCTCTTCTCTTTTCTTCTCTTTTCTTCTCTTTTCTTCTATTCTCTTTTCTATTCTTCTCTCTCCCTCCCTCTCTCTCTCTCGTTCACTCCACCACTCTCTTTTCTCTCTACTCTATTTCTTTCTCTGTCTCTCTTGCTCTTTTGCTAGGTCTCCCTGTTTCTGTCGTTTACACTCAGCTTCTCTCTCCTCTCTCTCTCTCTCTCTCTCTCTCTCTCTCTCTCTCTCTCCCTCCCTCCCTTCCTCCCTCCCTCCATCCTTTTTCTCTTTACTCTATTTAAAAAATCTGTCTCTCTCTCTCTGTGTGGCTCTCTTGCTCTTTTGCCATTTCTCCCTGTTTCTGTCAGTAGTTATAACACTCAAGTTTTCTCTCTCTCTCCCCCCCCCCCCCCCCCCCCATACAGCAAGTTAATGCCTTGAGAGCAGAGAATGACATGGTGAAAGCTAAGAACCAGCGGTTTGAAGATGACCTCGTGAAGAAAGAAAGGCAGATTGATCAGCTTCTTGATCCAACTAAGGTAAGCAATCCTCCTTTCATTCGTAGAATTAAAGGGAGTGAGCTTGGCAAATACTGGTTATAGCCCTATCTACGTCTTCTTTTGGACAACTGCACGTAAACGAATGGACTCGATGAGCGGTAGTCAGCTACTTAATCTCTACATGGTCAGCGTTTGCAAAACAGACCAAAGTTCTCCTCGCGCTTCGGTTTTGCGCATGTTGCACACACGTGATTGCTGCGGTCGAATAGTCGTATTATACCCGATTGGCCCCTGAGTCAGGCCACAGGAAAGACACACAGTCTCGTCAGGCTACACTCCCTTTAATATCATTGAAAAGTATTAAGGGTATTCTCATATGCTTTTTTTTCATAGGGGATTTCATTAGAGCAGCAACACATTGAAGTACGCTGTGATATATACCTAAAACCCCTACACCCTCCATAAACGGGGTGAAAGGAAACATGGAGGGAAAGAAAGAAGCAATAACAAATTTTAAAAGAAGAGAAGAATGTACATTATACAATGTATATTCTATTATTGATGCAGATACATTCTAAATCTTAGTATGATATAGAAAAATTTGGTCGATTCATTCAGCAGTAGAGTACATTTTATATTAGGTTAGATGCTGCATAACAGTGCATATGGTAACTTGTTCCATGGTTCAAACCCACAGTCAATTAATTTTTTTCCTCACCACCCTCGATTATTACCATTTGGGATTCTAATTCACTGTAGATATTTTCTGTTTCTAAATAGTATAATTTTAAATCGCAGCTTCATTGGATGTTTTACTCGATACTGTTGTTGATTTCACAATACCTAGATTCTTTTTTAAATTCTTGATTGATCTTTCAGAGTGACCTTCGAAACACCCTTAATAGCAGGCAACCAGATTCAGCAGCGGTGAGTTCAACAAACTTTTGTAAAATTTTAGTAATGTAGGACTGTGCTGAAACGACCATGTGAGGGAAACATATCTTTTAAGGCTCTAGGTCATGAAAAAATGTGGTAGGGCTTGCTCAGTGTCTCTGAGACTTTTGAGAAGGTGAAATTCACATGAATAGGCCTTTCTTCATCAACTAACTTTGCCAAATAACCCACTATTTTAACTATCCTGATCGCTAATTACCCAGCTAATTTGCATCTTTATCAGCCTGCAGTTGCAATTAGTGGGATATTTGGTCAAGAAAATATCCTGAGAAACCTTGGTCTTGGTTCAAAAAAATCCCACTATTTTGGAAATAGCGGGCTAATTTGTGCTCGTCTGAGCTAGTTTGTGAAGCGCGTATCAGTCTAGTGAAGACGCAGTTTTGAGCTTCGGGATAATATCCTGAGTCTGAAAATAGCGGGTTATTTGGCAAACTCAAGCTGATCAAGACAGGCCCAATATCAATGTTTCTAGAGGAAATGAAACGAAAATAAATTTATAGTAGTATTTGATTGCAAAGCTGAACTTCTTGGATCATTGTTGGTATTAACATTACAGAAAGTGAACAGCTTGAAGCAAAGAAATCTAAAGCTGGAGATGAATCTAAAGGACAAAGAAGCAGAGCTTATGTAAGTAGAAAAAGTTATTGTATATCAATTATCAATTAAAAATATTGAGTATTGAGTATCGTAATTAAAATATTGTTGCATTATGAAGTATAATAATTACATTATGATGCAACAACTTTGACAGAAATGTATGAGAAATAACAACAACAAATAATATAATATTCCACTTTTATATAGCACTTAAAACATCTAGAATGTCTCTAAGCGCTGTACAGAAACACTATTGCCCCGGCCATTGGATTCAGTGCTTGCCCGCACACACTGTGTGCACAATCTCCACTCCTTGGAGAAAACTGTTTGACCAACAATGACGGTCACATCCTACCAGGTACTAACAACTGGGTGGAGAGTTACAAGGGCAGGTTAATATCTTGACAAAGGATATTAGCGCCCTGTCAGGATTTGAACCCTCGACCTTCGCATCCTATTGTATGTTTTTTTTTTTTGTCTTTGGTCTATGTATAGGAAGCTGAAGAATGATATGAAAGGAACTCGTATGGAAGAGATGAAGGTTGCCATGGAATCATTCTATCAAGAGGTAATCATACAAAATGTACATTCTTCAAACAATGCATGATGTTTCTGTAAAATAATTTAGTAGTATTTTTGCCAAAACCACAAGACCATTTTTTATGTCCCCTATTTGTGAACAATTATGAATGACATTTCATTGGAAGTAACCTTCCTTAATTTTGCATTCAGTGTTTAGCTAAAAGAGCACCTTTATATATTTTTTTTAAATCACAAAAGCTTACATACAAATGGTAATATTACCTAACTTTCTATCTCCTTGGAAATTCTAATTTGGTAATGAATTACAAGGTCATTTGTCATTCTTTTATCCCCTTGCTGGAATATTGCCATGACAGTATTAATGCTGACATACTACCAGCTGCAAGAAATATTATTGATGTTTCTTATTGATGTGTATCAGATTGTAATTTGGTTTCTAATTATTTGTTCATCTTTAGGTTCAAAGACTCCGCTACCAGCAATCACATCAAACAGGAAAGTGAGTATCTCTTTGTTTTCCTAATTTTTTCCTCCATTTGATTGTGAAAAATGTATAGTCAAAGCTGTGTCATTGACAAATATCATCCTTCATGAACATGTAATTTAGAATGAAAGTGTATAGTATGTTGTCTGATATACAGGGGACAGGAAAACACTAAACATGTTTGTTTGCTTATAATCTTGGACTATGAAATTCAGGATTATGATTATTGTATTTCTATCTATCTATCTCCCTGAATCTGTTTCCCTTGTTTCTATAACCCTCTCTCCCTTCTCTCTCTCTCTCTCTTTCTCTCATTCTCTCTCTCTCTCTCTCTCTAAGTATAATTCTAAATCTAATCTAAATCTAAATCTACCTCAAACCATGCTTTTCTTTGTTTCTGCGTCTCCTCTCCCAAGTCTCCCTCTTTGAATTAATCACACCCTCTCCATGTAATAACCATCTTCACTACCTCTCTCTCCCATCTCAGAGCAACCAGACCAGGTACTGCCGAAAGAGACTCCTCAAACTCCACGGCCAAAGTGAAGGCCCTCAATGGTACCATCCTGAGACTCACAGAGAGTAATCAGAGACTACAGAGCGAGAATAAGCTGCTCAAACAGGACTTGGAGAGGACGCTGTATGAGAGTTCAGCCTACAACGGACCAGCACGCTCAGAGAAGTCACAAAGAGGTGGGTACTGTCTTCCATCTTGTGTTGTCTTTGCATTTTATTCCACCGACCATTTGATGAGGTGCCAGTTTGATTGCAACTTGATTGCAATGTCCTGTGTGTAGTTAAGATTTTTAAGAGAAGTCACAAAGAGGTGGGTTCTGTTTTCCATCTTGTGTCGTCTTCGCTGTTTATTTCCACCATCCAGGGCTTATCATTGAAGTGCTAATTTGATTGCAAGTCAATTGCAATGTGATTGCATTATGATTGCATTGTGATTGCAATAAGATTGCTATTTGATTGCAATGTCCTGTGTGTAGTTAAGATTTTAAAAAGCATTTGATAGAAAAGTCACATAGAGGTAGGTACCATCTTCCATTCTGTGTCGTCTTCGCAGCTTATTCCACCATCCATGGCCTATATTGATGAAGTGTCAATTTGATTGCGACTTGATTGCAATGGGATTGCATTATCGTTGCATTGTGATTGCATTATGATTGCAATAAGATTGCAATTTGATTGCAATTTGATTGCAATGTCCTGTGTATACATTGTAGCTAAGATTTGTTAAAGTACTTGATATGAATAGATCTTGATATCTCATATTTTAGGTAGATATGGCTTAGTAGAGTTGCATAATCATCTTAGTTTGATTATTCACTTTTTCATTGTTAATCAGAATACATAACAACAATATTCAACTTGAGGACATGCTTATTGTTTATGTTCTTTAATGACTCTTTCTTTGAATTCCTCTTCTAATATGCATCCCCTTTTTTTGTCTTTGCAGATTATGAAGATTTGAACAGAAGGGAACTGTTGGCTGCAGTAGTTAACTTACAGCAGGTGGGTACACGTAGCTTGTTATTGGACAGATTTATCTTTCCTAACTATTCAGGCTGTTACCTAATAGTTACTCAAAAGTGTGTGACTAACAATTCATTGCTGCCAACCATTCCTATTTTGGAGGAACAATTCTTTATTTTGGGCCTTAAAGCTATTGTTTTGAACCCTAAATTCCTCTCTTTTTCTAAAATATTCTTTGTAATGTTTATTTATGATAACATTTTGTGTTGTATCATTTTCGTAACTTATGTATTATGTTATATGTACATAACATGTGTTTATTTGTGCAGGCCCTAAATGATAGCAGTGTTAAAAAAGCTGGTTATAAAAGGCAAATCAATATATTAAAGCATATTCACATTACTGCTTTTCTGGAAGTTTCGTAACTATGCCTATTTTCTGCTGGTCCAAACAACCCCATAATAGACAAGGGATGCAAAGCAGAATGTCTTTTAGACATGGCCTTTTAGAATGCACTGTTGTTACGGGAACTTACCCTCAATATGCTTTCTTTCTCCTTTCCTTTTTTTGTTTAAACAGAAAATGGATCACATAGAGGGCAAGGGGATGCGCAAAGACCGTCATGCGGATGGAGAGATGCCGGGGAAGATCCCTCTGACCGGATCACTGTCTGACCGTCTTGACCAGCTGGACAAACGAGAGACCGAGCTCCTCAAGGAGAAAGGGAGACTGGAAAAAGATGTGAGCAGGCTCCGGGAAGACAAAACCAAGTTTAGACAGAAGGTGGAGCAGTTTGAGTAAGTACAGTGACTATTTTTATGTTGCAACATATCAGTATTTACTATTTTATTGAGTGTGGTTATTCCTTGTATAAGGAACTATGATTGTTTGCGAGTAAGAAATGAAATCCCAAATTGACCTTTTTTTTATGCAGTATAAAATGTTGCTTAATGTTGCTGTAGATATTTGTGCATACTAAATGTACTATGAATTTATCGAAAGAGTTGTCTCAAATTAATTTTGGCACAAAATATCTTACACTTTGTGTACCTTTACTTTACTAAATGTAAAGATTATGGTATAGCCAACTTACTAGAGGTTCTAGTTTCTAATAATTGATTAATGTAAATTTATGCTCTAGAAGTTACAGGATAGAATGATACGTTGAAAAAAAGGATAATAATTTATCAGGACTTTTAAAATGTTGTTTATTGTTTGTACATAATATTCTACATAGTGTCAAGAAAGTGAAATGGACATTCTAATTGATTGTGATTCCTTCCAGGGATGAGAACAAAGCTCTGCAGAAGGAGAACGAGAGGCTGAAGGAGCAGGCCAAGTCCATGACTCCAAGACAGAACGGTAGCATGAAACGGCATCCCAGCAGCGAGTCCCTCCACAGCAAACGTAGTGACAGACATGGTGACAGATACAGTGACAGACAGAGTGACAGACACAATGAAAGACAGGATAGGAGCAGTGAGAGACAGAGTGAGAGACAGAGTGACAGACGGAGTGACAGACAGAGTGACAGACAGAGCGATAGACGAAGTGATAGACAGGACAGGAGCAGTGACAGACAGAGTGATAGACATAGTGACAGATACAGTGATAGACACAGTGACAAACACAGTGACAGACATGGTGACAGACACAGTGACAAACATAGTGACAGATACAGTGATAGACACAGTGATAAGCACAGTGACAGGCTGAGTGACCGAAGCGAGAAGAGGTCACGAGCAAACAGCTCGGCTTCGTCGAGGAGGAAGCAGAGAGAAGAGGAGGAGGAGCTGAGGGACAGAGAGCGCAGACTGGAAGAGCTGAGACAGAACAGATCGGCACGCACTCTGCAGAAGGGCTGGAGGGCCCACAAGCAAAGGGTAAGTTAGACCCCAAAGCTTCTTTTAAGCCCCACATATTTATTTTGATGTCAGCGGTACTATAGGTATTTCTTAATTGTAGAAAAGTTTTAAGATTGATACAGTCAAACCTGTTTATAGCGACTGCCCAAGGAAAACACAAAAAGTGGTCTTTGTAGACAGGTTCCTTTAGTACATGTTTCAATGAGAAACCATTTCAAGTGAAACAAAAATGTGGACTTTGTAGACAGGTGGTCACTAAAGCAGGTTTGACTGTACTACAGTTCCCTCTATGGGGATAGTGGTTTGAATAGCCTTCTATGAGCAGCTTCGCCCTAATAACATACTTGCTCTTAAAATTCATCAATGTTTAGAAGCTTTGTAGGTGGGATCTTCTCATAAGATTATATGCATATTGGTGATAGGGATGGTGATTATTTTACCTGACTGCTAAGAAAGCATAAATGCTTGTAAATAAACAACCAGACGGCCGACGGCTTTAGGTCCTCTCCGAGGTACCTGGTAATGAGGATTAATGCCTTACCAAAGGGTACTAGCGCATCAACTTGGTTTCAAATCCGGGTCACCGGATTACGAGACCACTGCTCTACCGCCTGAGCTATGGCGCCTCCTCATTATTAGTATTTGATAGAAGCTCTGCTATGAAAGAGGCTAACAGTAAATTTGGAAGTATATGCATAACAGTTAGCCTCAACTCTTTCTTATCATATTTTACAGAATATTCTCTTTTTACTTTTACTTGTTAGACAAACTTGATTAGAGGTGATGATGATGACCAGTGTAGCTGAAGACGTGTTGAGCAGAAAACTGTTTAAATAGCATTTGATCCAAAGTAGAAATAAAATTTTTGACAAACTGCTTTGCTAAATACTGAAATCCATGATGTTGCCCTCCATCACTTGTGGGCCACATAGCTTGAACTAGTATGCAGTGGATATCAACAATTATTTGTCTACCATTACCAAGCTATTGCGCAGTGTAGATCGTAGTTGCCAAAATGTAAGGAAGTCTTACAGCACAGAAGGAAATCAATGATTACTTTCAGCTGTGACTCTGAAGAAACAGAACCCTCTTCCCCCCAAAATGAAACTGAGCATTGTAGTGAATCATCTTCTATTTCTGTGTCTATCTTGTGCAAACAGGAACAAGATCGTGGCAGTGATCTGGATGAAGTAAGTATGATTAAACTTTAAAAAGTAACCTGTATTTTATGTATATGCTTGTAGTTCCATTTGTCATAAAATTCTTCTTGTAAGATGTAAATTTAAAGAAATTAAGTGTGTTTCAAAGATAATAATATGGGCATCATTGGGACATTGTATAGTGGTTTAGTGGTGGTTTTCGTACCTGACTGCTAAGGAAGCATAAATGCTTGTTAGTAAGCAACCAGAGGACCGAGAGCTTTAGGTCCTCTAATCATAGATTTGAAGATTGGTAGAAGCCTAAATTACATTCTAAGAGAATTGTGTTCTAAATGTTATAATGGATGGAATAAAGAGCTTTATTTTTGAGAAATTAGTATCTGAATATTGAAAGTGTCCCATCCATTGATTCATTCAAAACCCTTCTCAAAACCCACCTTTTTAATTAGTTATAGTATACTGGAGATGTACACAAGTAGTTAATTCCATTCAACTGAATTGTATTGTTAATATCTTATTTTATTTTGTTGCTTTTAAGCTATTGAACATGTTGAATAATTATACTAAGTTAGACAGCACCACCTGTGCGCTTAGAAACGCCTGTATAAAGCGCCCTATAAATGTAATTATTATTATTATTATTATTGATTGATTGAAATGTGGTGTATATTTCACAGTGGATGGAATAAAGAGCTTTAGTTTTGAGAAATTAGTATCTGGACATTTTTTTTCTTCTGATAATGATTCAGGCTGCTACTACAATCCAAGCTGCAATGCGCGGTCATCACAGACGCAAGGATCTCCTTGACCGCTTCAACTCAGAACCCTTCTCACCTTCAACAACGGATGCAGCCAGCGACAGGGTGCGCGATGACGAGGATAGCGACGATTATGATGATGCCGCCATGACGATACAGTCTGCTGCCAGAGGTCATTGGTCACGCAAAGAGCAACTAAGTAAATTGTAAGTGACTGTATAACTATCTGTGGGGTTGAATCATTGTGTAGGGGGTCTGTACAGATGTGTATCAATACAATCTACTTACTTACATTGGTGACTGACCTTTAACTTTACCATCTGAGAGACATAACTCTGGTTTTGAACCAGGGTACATCAGAGATGTTTTCTGAACAAAAGGAAATCGTGGAAGTTGGTCTAGCAAATTATTCATCTTTATCTTCATAAAAAAAAAATCCTTTTGTTCAGAAAAATTAAGTGGGTGTTTGCATGAGAGGTTTATTTTTACAGGTGTGTTAGTATTCAGATTTAGCTTAAGGAGGTTTATGTCTTTGACCACCGTTAACTCTCACTTTCCAAAAGGCCTTTATTACTCCTGATTCGAATCCTGGTTGTTCAATAAAGAAGATCACAGTGATGACCTCTCGTCCAGGTCATATGAATTTTGTTTCTTTACATTCTACTTGAATGAGGGAATAACTTATTTGGCCTTAAAGCTAGGCTACCTCACCAATCTATACAACTAGGCATTGTGGCATGTGCCTGTAATCCAGCTAACAATGGAAGTTACAAACTGATTCAGCCGAGGACGCAGGTTCCAAACTGAGTCAAATTTTTCAGATGGTAACGTTTAAAGGTCCGTCCCCAGACTTAAATAATCATATCTGATTGATACTTGTCTGTAAAAACCTAATACACACACACACACATATACAGAATAGTTATTGTTCATGATTATTTTCTCCCCTTTCTCTTTGTTGGTTAAACGCCTGATTTCGCAAACTTTTTTCCTATCCCCCTTAGTTGAAGGCCAACAACTTTCATCCTCTCAAATTAATTGAGTATTTGAACAATGTATATAATGCCCCAAATCCAATCAATACCGTCATAAATATCTCATATCACATTCCCCTTTACAGCTCCAATCGATATTGCCAACTTTTTTCTTATTTCCCTTAGTTGAAGACCAACATCTTTCATCCCCTCAAATTAATTAAATATATGATCAATGTATATGATAATAATAATAATAGTTTATTCTTTTATAGTGCATTTCAGGACCACAGGCCCTCTCAAAGCGCTTACAATGTAGGTTTACATAATTACTGGTAGCATTCATCAAAAAGGTGAGTTTTCAGTGCTCTCTGATGCCCCAAATCCAATTAACATATTGTCATAAATGTCTCATATCACATGCTCCTTTGCAGCTCCAATAGATCTGATTCTGAGCCAGAGTCAGCGCGATCTTTCCGCAGCGGCAAGTCCAGCAAGGCAGGGTCAACAAAGAGTGGATTGGATAGGTTCATGTCTGGATCAAGACCTGGATCCAAGGCAGGATCATCCAGCAGAGCAGGATCAGTTCGGAATGGATCAAACGGTAAGTGTATGAAATAAGCCAGTTCATAGTTGCAGTCTGAGCTTGCATGAGCAGATAAAGGTCATTGCAGACCAAATTGTGAAATACACGGAGACAAAACACTGGATACCTGCTCATGAAAGTTATGTAATCATTCATTTATGCACAAGCAGTGCACTCCATGATACACAGGTGGAAGTATTCTTTGAAAAGGGGAAACAAAGGGCTATTTATGTAGCACCTCCATCGCTGTTGAAGTGATTATTTCAAAATATACCAAGTGGGACCTCTTCCTGTTTTGAAGATCTGTGGATATTCGGGGTCATTTGGGACATGTGCTAACTGTGAACTGGTCTATTGATTCATCACTGAAAGGCAGCATAGCGAAACATGGCATCAGGAGTGCAAAATGCATAATTGTGGAAAACGATTATTTTATCACACAAAGGTAGACCCAGATTGTTAAAATGTGGAGCTAGTAAATACAGGGTTAGTTACTTAAACTTACATTCAGATATGTTAAAAGTGAACTTCTTATGTGCAAATATCTCTAATTTGTATGTCTTTTGCATTCTAGAGCCATCTTTAGGTGTCACTAAATTTTGCTAAGTTACTAAGGTTTAATAATTGAATTACTCATTTGTTAGGAGATGCTTTTGTTTTTGTAGCATTTTAGAATAATTTAATCTGGTTTAAATTATTTCAAGTTTTGTACATATAATTATCTACTGCACCTTCTTTGAATATTTTTAGATGTCATTGAACATGTAAATCATGTTTTTGTATTCTAGTTGTGGAAGGATCTCAAGATCTGATAACGTCAACCTTTATACCAATGATTACCCCCAGTAGAAATATGCTGATTGAGTTTGAAGCATTAAATTGAACTTGGGTAATCATAACCGGTCCCATTAGCAATAATAATAATAATAATGATAATAATAATAATGATAATAATAATAATATTACAGTTATAAAGTGCCTTTTCATTAGATACAAAGCGCCTTGAACAAGAAATACTTACAAACAAAGGTAGAACACATTATCATACAAAGCTTATATTGATTACAATAGGTTTATTTAGTTTTACATATGTATTTCAAAGGTCATAGCAGTGGGGTCATATGAATATGTTGTAACCCCCCCCCCCCCCCCGAGCTGTTGCTCTAAACATTAAAGTAGTCAAAAACTTCACTTATACCAGCTTTATTTTGATGTTTGATATGTCAGTATTGAGGAAAGATCCCCTGTCAGAAGAGGATTCGGATGACTCTCTCGTGATGTCTACCACCTCAAAGAAGAGCTCTGTATCCAAGTACAGTAATAAGTCAGGTGAGTATTCAAATGTAATTGATGTCAAGTATGTGGATAGACTCTCTGAAGAAATGACTGACATATTTGTTATGCCTCCACTACAAAGTAGCAGGTGGCATTATGTTTTCTGGTTGTCTGTCCGTCAGTACGTTCTTCCGTCTGTATGTCTTGTTCTCGTGATCGCGTTATCTCAAGAACTGACTGATTACCACCAAACTTTTTTTTCTTCAAATTCAGACAATGATTAAGAGTTGGTACAACGAATCGTCTTCTTTCTCTAATAATTTAATGAAACATCATAGCTTCCGCGCTTTGCGCGAGAAGGGGGGAAACTGAATTTCAGACAAGGATTAAGAGTAGAGAACAATGATTAAGAGTTGGTACAACGCATCGTCTTCTTTCTCTCTAATGATTTAATGAAACATCAAAGCTTCCGCGCTTCTTGATAATCACAATATTCAAGAACCTGTTAATAGATCAGACTCAAATTTAAATTTAAAAATTTCTTCTGTTTTGATTTGTAAAATTGCTCTATGGCGGAGGCATCATTTTCGACTGCAATCTAGTCAAAGTTCCATTTACCTAGTTTTTCTAAGTTATTAGGCATAAAAAGGAGGTGTCCAATCCCCCCTCCCCCCCCCCCCCAAAAAAAAAAAAAAAAGTATGGGGAGCATCTGGACCTCCGTATTCTCCCTTGTATTATGAGTAAACTGTCTCATTGTATGGAACTAGGACAAAGTTGTAAACTATTCTTAAATGCAAGGATTTGAGGTGTGACATTCTGTGTTCTGTCAGTGCTTAGTCATAGGCTCTGATGACAATTTTTTCAAAGATATAGGTATTGGGTTTCAGTTGGATTAAAGGTTAGGGTTGAGTATTATGTTTGGTCTAATTAAGTTTTAAGTCCAGTGTTTGGTTAATAGTTTTCTCAATATTTCTTATGTTTTCCCCTCTCTCATTTTCTTTTCTTTTTCAGGGAACAAAGGGAAACAGGTGAGTTACTGATTTGTTTCAAGCTTTTGCTTGTGAAGTTTCTCTCAAAATACTAAACTACTAACCTAAGTGTATTCTGTGAATATAATGTTAATTCCTTGAGCTAAAAATATATTACCCACATCAAATTTAAAGTTTGAAGCTTAAAGCTATCTTTAACTACCTAATGACAGCACTTTGGTGTAATGTTTGTTTATTAATGTCAAATTTCTCAAAATTGTATGTGACTGCAGTGATTATTTATTTCTTTATTCGTTATCATCTTAGTCTTTAAACACACTTCATTGGCTGTCATTTAGTGAATCTTATTCTTTAACTCTGCAGTCTTTCTGTAGTTTGCAACCTAATGTACAGATTTGTGTAAAATGCTCTCATTTTCTTCTCATAATCTGTCATAAAGGGATCCATGAGTTCATAATTGGGATTGGAAAAACAAAAAACATTATTTTGAAACCATTGGTGCATACACTGCCATAACATTTCAGAGTACAAATCATATTGCAATTTTCATTTATTGTTTTCACCATTTAGCACTGAGTTTTGGAAAGCACTGCATAACTAACACTACCATTCTGAAATATCTTAGCTCTTATTAAATTCCAATACACATTCAACCCGTTTCATAAAACCTGTTAGAAAAAACACATGCCATAGGTCCATACAAACAAATTGCCAGAAGTCGGTAAGGTAAATTATAGTTAAATGTCAATTCCAATACCACAAATATCTTGAATGTATTGTGCACTGTTGGGTCAAATATGAAAAGTTTATTTCTATTTTTGGAATAGTTACTACAAATTTTATTTCAAACAATCCACCCGATAGTTACCTCACGTTTTTATGACACCGAGCAGAGAACTGAAAGGTTTATCAAAGGCACTCTTAACTCTCCTAATCACTGTCTCTTTTCCACGCCTTTCCTACTAAAGACTAACAACTCCTTCTCATCTAAGACCTCGTCGACAAACCCGCGACAAGCTCAACGCCTTACGTCCTCTATTCCGGAAGAAGACTCGAGCGATGACGATGATGATATCGTTGTCACGGTCAAACCGAATAAACCTCCTTCCACCACCATCACAACCACCAACACCTCTGTTAAAGCTAAATCCAAGAGATTTGGGTTCTTCTAACCCGGCGTCACAGTCGTTCACTCTCTCATCTCAGGCTTCTTTATTTCATTCTTTCCATTCCAGTATAATTGTGGGTCTGTGCAGATAAGTTGTATTATCTCTCTCTTCTTTTGGTGTTTAATTGTGTGATGTAAAAGCTGGAATTGCTCTGTTCTCATGACCCTACTGATTGTAACAGTTCAAGCACCTATTAAAGCCCCACTGCACTACTTATAGCTACTTGTGCCCTCTAAATAGCAAACAATGCCTAATCGGTGACCATTGGACCCCCATGGTCCCCTTTTTCTGATGTTAATTGAGAGCTGATTTGATGAGATAACCACCTGACAGTGACCTTGCAGGGAGGTATAATGCCTCTGGGCCAAACTAGTGCAGAGGGGCTTTGATACATGTAATGTGTGCTGTGTTAAGGATGAGTAAACTAATTAATTATCTGAAAACGATGTATATCATTGATAGTGTGATAAAACATTGTAACTCAATTTGTTGTGATTGCTTTTGTCTAGACCATTTTCATGTTTTGATAAATCCATGTAATGCATATCTGCAAAAATAATGCCCCAAAACCTTCAAAAGGAAATTCATCATTGCACTTTAATGTCAAACATGAAAGTTTGTTCAATTCCAGAAAATCAAACGTTTTGAGGTACAAAGTTTTATCACCCCACCAAAAACATGCTCCAATACAAGCACTTGAATATGACGATGAAGGGATGTTGCTGCCAAACGAAAACGGGCTATATTTGGACATATTAACACTGAATAGTCCCTATTTTTTAAGCAGTATGTTACTGATCATTACCTTCATATATGTATCTAGGTATTCATTTATATGTTCTCAGGTGTATACTACCATTTTAAGCATTACATTTCAAAAGCCCAGATGCATTTCAGTTGTGTTGATTGGTGTGTGTCCAAAGTCAAAACCTATTAGGTGTAAACATGCCTTTTTGTGTCGTCTTATAATTGCCTTCATATATATCAACAGCATTTTTTAGTTGTCTTTAGCTAACATCCAGTCTGTTATCTTCACATTCTTTTACTTAAATCAACAACTAGAGCGTGGCAAGTAGTCGATCGACTCTGAAAAATGGACTCAATAGCAGGAAAGACGAGGACAGTGATGACGATGATGATGATCTGGTGTTCTAATGGGCATTATGTTAAAAAGGGAGAGTATACGTATTCTAGCTTGAATATCTCCCACAAGGTAAATTTGAATAGTTGTGTAATAGTGAGTTTGTTTAAATATTGAAAATATGATATTAGAGAAATATCCCTCTCTTTACTCACATGATTATAGAGTGGGATTATAGAAAGTCGCCACATGGTCAGTGTAAAGCAGTGTTTTATTTTTTTGTAGATCTGTAAAGGTATGTAAATTGGCAATGAGAATGTTTGCAATTGTCCATGGCATAATTAACGGCAAGAAATTGTGTTTAATAGTGTGTTATTTTCTGAATTTCAGACAGAGGTACAATATGCACAGTGATGATATTATGTGTACAGTAATACTAGTTTGTGATATATTACTTCTTTTTTTTTAAGACAAAAAAATGAAATATGATAAAGTGGGTTCGATTTAATGCTGAATTTACAAATGTGCAAGTGTGTATCAGTGTATCCCTGCTCTTTTTGTGATGCTACTTTTTGTAAATACTAAACAAATAGTAGATACCAGTACGTATAACTCAAACTCTATAATTATGTAATTATACCCATGTGAAAGCATATAGAATTGAAGTTAGCTAGGGGCCTGTTTAAAAGTCCCAATTTTCAAAAATGTCTTTTCAAAAGTGATATATTGATAATAAACATGTACTCATGGATTCACTGCCTTCTTTAAACAGATCGGGTATTAGTAGCATAGGATATCCAAGATGCATCTTGCAAATACTTGCAAAGCAAATACCAAAGACATGATGGCACATAATCACAAGGCATGCATGTAGTGTCTATGTCCAATACATATCTAGGGTTTTACTTTGATGATTTGATGATCTTTATCTAGGGAAGATTCTTTTATCCAAGTCAGATGTACAGCTGGGAATGGGGATGTCAATTAAGTAGGCCTGAAGGTACACTACTGCAATTAAACCCATTTTGTGTCTATGTGCCATCAGAGATTTAATTAACCCGGAAAATACAATCTGAAATTGTCTTACTCTAAAAAGAGAGGTATTCTATGCAATTTTGATTCTTTTTTTAAATAATTTTGTTAACCAAAATATGCACACATTAATGTCTGAAACAGAATTTCCGGCTTTGGTTATTGGAAAAGCAAGTCGAATTACCGGTAATGAAATTGTATGCATTGGGTTAAGTGATGCTTTGTAAAAATTATAAATGAAAGTGGTTGTATTGGGCATAATTCAATCTAAATATGCTTGAAAATATCTTAGTAGAATCTTCATATGCTCGAAAGTCTCTTACTAGAAATTGCTGATGTACTATAGTGCTTTTGTGATTATGTAAATAATGTAATTTAATTTTGTTATAACATGCTTTCCTTGAAAATCAAACATCTTTTAAGCCTGTTTAAAATGTCTAGGAGAGTAGAAAATTTGAAGCAACAAAAGTGAAATGTTATCACCTTGAATTATGTGACTCATTTATTTTGAAATGAGTTACATTGTAAATCTGATTACCACTGATTAACAATGCATTGTTGTTATCTTACGCTTAGAAAATAACTTCCTTTCAAATGTAGATAAGTTTGGTAGGTGATCTTATAGTTATACAGTAGGTTTGCGGTTGCACCATGTGTGAGAGAGAGAGAGGGAGAGAGGTTTGAGGAGTCCTGATCTTATAGTTGCTCCAGTAACCTGTGCTCATGGCTTGATTTCATTAATTGAATGATATGGTCAGGGTTCCCGGTTGTGATATATGGTGATATGGTTCTTAAGTTGAATTTAGGGTTATGGTTAAGTGTAGGGTAGGGTCAAACTTGCTGTAAAAATTAGTAATTTAATTAGTGTAGGAAATCACTGCAGATCTAGTGTTGCTACATGTTTGCTTTATTATGTGCTTGATCAAGTTATCTCTTACATTTATGTTCAGCAGTATAATCAGTTGTAGATTAAGCTAACAAAAATGCTAAATCGTGTGGAGCCAGTAGGGCATTAACTCCATTCAGTTTACATTCTGTTTTCTTTAGTAGACTCAAGTAGCCCTACTACAGGTGATTCATCATGAAAGTATATATTTGTTTTTTTAGATAAGCTTTTGATGGCGAAACTGAGAAAACTGAAATATCAGGCAGTACATGTCAGTTTAAAAGAAGATTTGTAGCTATACATGTGTGATAACTCTGTGACGGCTTTGAGTCTTTCTGCAATATAACACTCTGTCATTAATTCATTGAATATGAAGCTAGAGGTAGTTCGGTCTGGTAAAATGAAATTGTATTCAATAACAATTCAAACCGCCATTTCCAAACCTGCAATTTTCAAGACAAAACCTTTGTATTTTTTAAAGAAATCATGTGTATGAAAAGATGATAAAATGTGAGTGTATTTCATTATTATTTTTTTTGTATTTTGTATATTTTCAGTATGTACAAATTTGTTCCACCATCATGGTAAAAAAGGGGGAATTACTATGTACATATCTACACAGAGTGTGTGAATAATGAACGTTGCAATCTACTGTTTCATGCTTGTGTCATGTACGATACAGTTTCCAGTATATATAACCCTACATGTCAGTACAGTACAGTATAGCACAGTACATTACAATGCAACCATATAATGTACTTGCTGGACTATGGAACATTTTGAAATAAGCTGTTATAAGTTATTATCAATAATTGTAAAGTTATCAATGTATTATGTCACCCATGATTATGATTTGGGCTGAATTGAACAAAGGCACTATATGCCAGTTATTTACCAGTACTTATACTAAATAGATATCTATCGCAGCTAGTAAAATCATCCCTTTTTTGTACATCATACAATATCAATTAATCAATTCAAGAAGTGTTTTTCTTTCCATTGGGAGAAGCATGAATGTAGCTTTTCCATAATAAGAATTTAATTTTGTTTTGTTTCCTATACAATATATAATTGGAGAGAAAAAAAAAGGGCTGATGCCAATTGCAACTTATTTGCTCTAAAATGAAAGGCCAAGTATCTCCTAGGAACAGGTCATTTGTGATCACCTTTGTCATTCTTGCAATTTCCTCCTAATTACATCAAATTCAGAGTACATATATAGTACATGGATAAATAAAATCCCAATGATTTACAGTGAGTATCAGACAATTTATACCAAAAAAGTACTTTTGCGCAAAGAGGAAGATACATTGATTTTTCAGATCGGCCCAAAACCCTTCATACAAATAATAATATTCCATGTATTACCCATACTATTTTGATGTATACATGCATTATGTGAAATGAAATTATAGAGATCTTCTTCATCTGATAAAAACATGATAAAAAAGTTTCAAGGAATTGTTTAATTGAAAAAGAGGCAACTCAACTCCAGCATCTATTTTATTTGTAATTTATATTCTCCTTCCCATCCTGCCTTTAATTGTGTCAAAGAAAACAAAATAGTAAAAAAATATTTCTCTCACCATCAATAGATACAATGTAGCTGTGCAATGAGGAGATAGATATGCATATTCTGTATGTGTATATTTTAGGGTGAATTTTGTGTATATATCGCTTGCACCTGCACTTACCGCGTATTGGCAGTAAAAACTTTTCATATCATTATGTAGTGTAGCTTTAAACAGAACTCATGTTTGCTATAAAGTCAAAGTACTAACATTTTCATTTGTGATGTATTTAACAAATTGTTTGCTACAGGGGTTATTTCCCATTGCCATGTTTTGTAGATCACATAATTTGAATTGAAGAAAAATGAGATTAATAAAAGAAATAAAAGAAATGAAAGGCAATACATGCCATGATACATTCCACTACATTAACTGGCATTTTCTCCACAATTGACTCAATTTGTTCTGATTTGTTTTTAATATCTTGTGTTGTATTCTTATTATAACTTAATTTAATAAGTGATATTCTGCTTTTCATCCTTTACATGTAGATCTCATATTTTTTATGTCATATTGCTACATAATTTGGTAGCAGCAGTCTACAGTTGTATGTGTATTCGCTATCTGTTAAAGTCTTAAATGATCTATGTGTGGAATATCCCAACTTTTTCATGCAACTTAAACAAAATTAGTGTCCATTTGTATTCAACTCCTGCAGCCCACCTAAAAATAATGAGAGCCTTGCAAATAGCTTCCTTTTTTTTCTTTCTATGTAACAAAATTTGGCAATGGGATCCCTCCCACATCTGTGCTCTTTTAATGTAGGCTGTTTGTAATCAAATTTGATACCTGTAGAGTATATTTTTTAATAAGCACCCGTTACAAATTATTTCATTCATCTGTTATGAATAATTGTATTTCAAAAGTCAGAACATGAGGTGCATACAATATGTGTTTTTAGGTCAGGCAAGCAATGTTTGTCTGACCTAGCGACAACCCCATGTATGCAGTTTCCTTTCTGAGTATTGAGATTCAATAATACAAATGTATACATAACCGGTGAGTGCAATAGCTTGTCGCAAGGTTAACATCAAAATTTGAATATGTTTTGAAAATGGTCTAATAATGTAATAGGTGTATGTATGTTGAATCATGTTCAGTGATTAATTCCACATGTTGAAATTTAATTATGATTGTTGTAAATTGTTTTTGTTGAGTGCATAGCATTATTTTTTCCTTTTTTCCTTCAGATGGTGAAATAAAATTCAAATCAGAATTGTGAAAATTAATCATCTATCCTTGTGTGCCAAATTGTATTACATTTATATAGTGTGTTTGTAGCCAGAAGGGTATTATCTCATATATTTAAAAAAGAATTGATCCCTTTTTGCCTCTGAACGGTTCAGAGCCAATAGGGCATTAATTCTTAACTTAATTCAATATTAAGTACAGTGTATTCATTTCACAATTAATATTTACAAGTCCAGATAGTTCATATTTCATCATATTTGATAATTCATTTCTTGTACATTTATATTCTATAGACATGGTTAGTAATATATTTAAATGTATGCAGATCATCTCTTATGAAAAGAGTTAATTTTGCATACATTGGTTGTTGCTATGTCAGCAATGCATCTAACAAGATTTTGGTTTTCATTAAGCACAAAAATATATGCATAAAATTAGTAAACAGGTCTAATTTTCTTTCTAATCCTCCATTCTCTTGCTCTCTCTCTCTCTTTCCTCTCTCTCTATCTCCTTCTTCCTCTCTTCTCTCCTTCCTCTCTTCTCTCCTCCCTCTCATTTCTTTCTTTCTCTTCTCTCTACCTCTCCCTTCCTCCGTTGCCCCCCCCCCCTCCCCTCCCCCCTTCGGTAAAATTCAGAGAGGCCTAGAAAGAATGCAAAATATATAATGTCTTTTAAAATGTTTTAATGTCACATTTAACATGTTTGTATAACAACAAATTATTTGAAAAAAATATTTCACATGGATGACACAATAACTACATCAGATTTATGAAATGAATCATTTTATATTCATATCTTGTAGTTAGTTTTATGCCTTGAAGGTGTTCTATTACAAAATGTTAATGCCATGCCATTGAAGGCACTTATTTATGAAATTCTTCAAGCCAATTATACGTTTACTGCTGGGATAAAAGCAGAAAAAGAATGTAGCTGATACGCAATGCGCCAGTTTAATAATTTAATCAAATTTAATGCATACATTTTTGTTATAGTACCTCCTTATGAACTATTACCATTTACATGTTACACATAATTGTATTTCGGTAGTCAGAATGCAAATTATATATCATGTGTCTGTAGGTCTGGCAAGTCATGTTTGCCTGACCTAGCAACAACTTCTGTAGGCAGTTTGCATTCTTACAATTGAGATACAATAATACATATCGGATGATTATAATAGATCATCACTAGGTAAACATGTATAACGGGGTTTCTCAAAGTCCTGTCTTCATCTGGACCTAGGGCATGTCAGTCTGGACCGCCTGGGGGGGGGGGGGGGGGGGGGGGGGGGGGGGGGGGGGGGGGGGGCTCTGCTTTTTTTATTTTTTATTGTAACAATTCCCCTTAGATCAGATATAGACCTAAAACAATCCTCATTTTCTTCAGTATATAACTTACAAGTGGCATTACTGTAAATTTTAGAAGTAGCTTTCCAGCAAATTAATAGTAACGCTAGTTGTTCCAAGCTCCTGGATTGTTCTACCTCTTAGCTTTAATGGAAATATCCCACCTGGACCGTCAAGGAAAAAGTTTGAGAACCCCGGGCATATTAGGGCATTTTCCTAATGTAACCAAATTTAATGCATACGTCTTTGTGAAGTGCCTCTTGATATCATTTAGTTTATTCACTGATACAAATAATTGTATTTCAACAGTCAGAATGCAAACTGCATACATTCCTTGTTGCAAGGTAGGACAGACATTATGGCTTGACCTACCTACAATTGCAACTAGTGCTGTAACATCACGGATATCTCCAATTCCGTTTAACCGCCTGTCAAAACCGGACGGTTTTCGGTTAAACGATTTATTAAAAAAAAAAAAAAAAAAAAAAAAAAAAAAAAAAAATTTGGCCTTGTGAAAAAGCAGGAAAGTGATTTAACTGAAGGCGCCGATATGTGCTCGTGAACTAGTCACAAATAATAGCAACAATGTCATTTTAGAATAATGTGTAAGATCATTAAAGTAAATTAAAAACAGAGGACCTAGGATAGAACCTTGTGGTACACCATGTGTTAAACTTGGTTGAGATCTATTACAAAGATTATTTTCAAACCAAGATGACAGACAAATTGGAGTGTTGTTCTAGTTTCCAAGTGGTAAGTCATCACACCGATTACTGAGCTGGGAGACATTGCCAGGCATAGTGCCAGGTGGAGGGGCTTAAATCGAAACTTAAAAAAAAAAAAAAAAAAAAAAAAAAAAAAAAAAAAAAAAAAAATTATTAAAAAAAAAAAAAAAAAAAAAAAAAACGGGAAAACGAAACCGTCCAATTGAAAACGGAATCCGCCATGGGCGGTCGGATACCGGACGGTTAAACGTTTGACTACAGCACTAATTGCAACAATACCAAAAATATGCAGTTTGCAATTAGACAACTGAAATACAATGGTTCGTAACAGGTGAATGAAAGACGTGTGGATTAAATTTGGTTGCATTATGAAAATGGCCATTAGCACATGGCTAATATATGTCAAAAAGTCCAAAACTACAAAAGGCACCTTGCAAAGAAAAGTACAAGTTCTCTGTCTCAAATACAACCCTCTACATCCAACCATACCTAGATACATGTACATCTGACATAAGTTTGATAGAAATGTACTAGCAGCGACAAAAAGCTTTGAACTTCTAGAATTTTTCTGGAGATCATTATACAAAAGAAAAAAATTGAATTGGTACATTGTAATACATTGGCAAGAAATTCATCTAAAATATCTCTGCATAAATAATAATAATAAATGTAGCATTTTATCTGTTCTTTCATCTTTAAGAATTTCCAACAAAGTAAAAATGAATTTTGTAATAGATGTGATGCAATGCAAAGACCCAATATGACATATTTTGTCTTCTTCAATATATATTACAATGCCATAGATTCTTCACAACTTTTTTTTATATAACCAATTTTAGAATATGGCAGGGATTTCATACATATAAATATTTTGATATATTTTAAATACACACTACCCTAAAAAAAAAAAAAAAAAATTAAATTTGGACCACCTTGTGAGATTTTGTATATAGAATGTAGCTGTGTTTTTTTTCAATATATCCCGCCTGAGAAAAATTTTAAATTCATCGACATTATGTAAGGAATTCATTTAATTTTTTTTTTATAGCTGATAATACATGAATGACAAAATGCATCTTTTGTTGTTTTGCACAAAGCCATTTTAATTAATACTTCATAACACAAAGTTATAACACCTAAATTTGTACTGGACATTCTGTGAATGTAGAAAATGGATTTGTGAGAAGCCAAATTTAAAGCTGTAGTTGAAAATAACCCTGTAACCAGTGATCGGATCGTCGGCCGATCAGGGGAAATCAGATCATAAATTCTGATCGCTGATCAATGAAAATGATCAGAAAATAATCGGTAAAAAAAAAACTTGAAAATTGTTGGCATTTCAATTTCTTTTTTCCCTTTTTTTTCCAATCATTTTTTTAAATTGTTGACATTTAACGGCATGAAAATAGTTTTAAACATGAACTACAACAACTTAATTTGAGAGAATTATCCAAGGTATGAGTAAATTAAGGTAATAGAGTGCTCAAAATTTCAAGTACAGCAGTAAAAAAATAAAATAAATAAAAATCATTTTGAACCGATACATTTTGCTGATACCGATCAAAGGTGCAAGGGTGTCGCTTCGATCAACTACCAGGGTTAGTTGAAAAATCATTTCAAACTATGCCATAACAGAAAGACTTGTAAAAATCAATTGAAAGTACTGTTTGCAACATCCCATAAAGTGCTTCTCTGTATGTAACACTGATAAATATCCATAGGGTTATTTTCTGTAAGCTTTTCAAGACCTGTTCAAGGAAACCCAATTGACCTCTGTAAATCAAAAACTCAACAGCAATGCATGAACTTTAGATAGTCAACACTGTCATAGAAACCTGCACAGCTCCAAAGTTTGTGTGCTGATGAAACTGCTCCTTGCCCTCACTCCTTGGGGTAAGGTTAGTCACCATGACAACAGGCCTCATCTCGGAGGAGATTCATCTTTTCTTGAGCCTCGTAGCGGCTGCTCTGACTGGATGGAATCATCAAATCTCAAAGAATCTCAGCCGCCAAACTTGATGGACGATAGCCCTGTTTGAAATAATAAGAGGATGGTAATATTCAATATTCAAAATTCAAAATTCAAGATGATTACCGAGATATATTTCTGTGAGTAGGCTTGAAGGTAATGCTTAAAAGCCAGTGTTTGGCACAGCTGTCACATTTCACGACTGCCCCCCCCCCCCAAAAAAAAAAAAAAAAAAAAAAAAAAAACAACAACAACAACAACAACAAATAAACAACAGAAAATTGTACATTTGTAAATATTGATCTGTAACTCTGAAGTTAAGCCATCTTTTTCTTTCTTTTCTTGTTCATATCGGAGGGACAGGCCACATGAGTATGTAAACATTATAAACAGGACGCACATTCACATTTACAATAGAATATGACATAATCACATGTGGGGTCGTGGGTCCTTTGGTTAATCAATGATATACACTTTTGTACAGACCATGGAATCAGCCACTGGTTGCCTGGACTCACCTATATTGCCATGATCATTCCAAGCCCAACATATGCAGTAGTGTTTGAGGAGTTGATCCAGCAGCTCCATCTCGTCCAAGAACTCCAATCTCTCTATGCGGTAGACATCATTGCGAGGCAGACTGGCGTAGACGGTCTGCATGTCTACTGCATCAGCTCCTTGCCAGCCAGCAGAGGTGAAGCGATTTTTCTGAAAAACAAACAAACAAACAAGGATCAGGGCAACAGATTATATCATTCATTGATTAATTATTGGTAAAGCAATGCAAAAAGTTCACAGATGATACATACATGTACAGTGTATATCCTTAAACAGGGAGATAATTCGAGAGGCAGCTGTATAGAGGTGGCCATTACACAATGGGTGGATGCTATGATAGCTTTCATTGCAATTGTGTCAATATGATGTTTTATTTATTAGAATTCCTGACAAAATCATCTCTTGCACAACACATCCCAGAACCCAATACCTCCACCAAAGAAGAAGAAAGTGAGACTTTACGCCCCACTGCACTACTTATAGCTACTTGCGCCCTCTTTTATTTAGCAAACAATGCCTAATTGATGACCATTGGTCCCCCAATGTAATAAGGATCTGGAATCATCTGCCAGGCTCAGCAGTCAATGCCACAGGAATAACCAACTTCAAGGAGGCTGCTCTACCCTCCATCAGAATGATGCAGCCCTCTGTTGGTTCCCATAATAAGCTTACTAGCTTGGTTTTTACTTGCACTGGACTTAGCATATTTTACTGTAAATTAACGAGTGCTTTGTCCACACACCATTCCTGTAATTCATGACACTCCTTGTAGTTACTCGCTTCACCTACCATCCCAGTATAGTTTCCTGAGTGAGCTGCCAAAGGGATTACCCAACAAAGTACCAAGTACCAAGTACCCATGATCCTCTTTTTCTTATGTCAACTGAGAGCTGATTTAATGAGATAACCACCTGTCAGTGACCATGCAGGGAGGTCTAATCCCTCCTGGCCAAAGTAGTGCAATGGGGCTTTAAAACTAAACCTCTCCTGACATACCTGTGTGTCAAGGTCTTTACAAGGGGCGATTCCTTCTAGCGTGCATCCCCTCGTCTTGAGGTTGTCAGCCATCACTATACCAAACTTATCAGCCATGTTCACCTGCTCGTAGTTGGCAAAGTAGGCCACAGGGAACTTAGTGTTGATCCATCGCAGAAGAGGGTCGGATTTATCATGGTGGAGGTACACTAGGACACACTCGGCCATGAAGAAAGTAGGCTTGCTGGAAAACGAGAGAAGGGACATAATTATAAAGATATTTTTCTGATTTTTCTTCTTTTTTTTATAAATCATTAGCAATGGTCACAATAAAGTAATTGTATATAGCCCAAAAATCAAACGATAAAATGTGTCTGTTGTATTGTTTTTTTTGTTCATGAATATCAGGAATACATTATTGAAAATATCTATGTCTTCTGTTAACTCGACAGTTGAAGAAATATTTGTATCTTGAGTAGTCAATTTATCCATGTTATAAATATAAACTTCCTTGTATATATGTTTGTTAATTTGTTGCAAATGAAAATCAATAAAATCCCTGCGGAGGCAAAAAGTATGAAGAAAAAAAAAATCACAATAACCTAGTCACTGGTTTGTTGTATTCGGCTTACATTTAAATGCTGTAAGCCCAGAACCACAAACAAAAGTAGACTAGATTCAACATTTTCCATTTTTGGCAAAAATGCTGAGCTGACCCTTTGCAGTATTTGTCCAAAAAATGGTGATTTACCGAATCTCATGAAATTTGCTCAGATACCCTTTTTTGGGGCAAGCAAGGGTCATATTCATCTTGGAATGATGAAAAAAACATGAATAAGGCCACATTTGAAAATTAATCGAATTTTTGCCAAAAATGCTGAAATACCCACCATCTGCTATTGACAGTGTCTTTGTATATTATATTTTTCTACAGAACCAGTGAAAATGAATCTGGACTAACCTGAAATCAATACCAGCTACTTTGCTGAGTTTCTTTTCAAGCTCCTCCACATTTCTTAAATCTCCCCACAAAATGTGATATTTCGGTGAATGAAGCTCGGCATCCTCTATATACCAGCAAAAGACAAATTAGGAGAAGAAAACAAAAATCAATCAAACTGGTGCTCACGGTCACATTCCAATCCAATCCAGGTATTTATAAAGCGCCAATATCTAGTCGCCTAATCAAAGGCGCCGATGAAACGGAAAAACTACCAAAAATGCCTGTTCATGATTCTAACTGGGACACACAAAAAAGTGATGGTAAAGGTTATGGATTTAGTGAAAAATAAACATCTCTATCATGGAACATGATGGTTAGGCCTTTCACATGATCTTATTGTTTTATTTCTCAATAAAAGAGCATCAAACTTGGTAAAAATATGCATATGGAGATTAACTACCATTATTGATCATTCTTTGGGCATCTAGTATAAAGTCAAAGGTCACTTATGTCAATCTATGTAAAGATTTTGCGTTCTATTGCAGCATTGATAGTGTAAAAGAAAAAAGAAAAGATAAAGAAAATGAAATCATTAGATTCTGGAATCACTTGTTTCTATTCCCATTGAACTTTATGCAGAAATGCATCCCTTACCAGTAACAACACTCTTGCCGACAGATACAAGTTTATTGAACATCCCATATAGCATAAAATAAATATCCTTACTTAAAGGTATTGACCGGTAGTGGTAAAATTGCGGTTCAAGGGTTTTGGGTGCAGAATATCCATTCAATATTGCTTAAATATTGCCTTCAGAGGTTTAGATGCCAATACTTCAATCTAAACGCAAAAAAGCAGAAATATATGCCCAAATGTTCAATGTTGAAGTGCATTAGTGATATCTATCCAGGCCGGATCGATATGATAATTTACCAAATAAATCAATAAGTAGGCGGTTTCCCGGCAAAATTTGTACCGTCACATATTAGTCAAAACATATTCCTTCACATGATTGGTAATTAAGAGCTTCTATTTCTTTTGAGAGGGGCGTTTCCAAAACTGGTCTATACCTTTAACAAAAATTGTACATGAATGGGCAGTATCCTTACCAATGACAACACTCTGGCCTTCACAGGTTTCTTGGACACCCTGTGTTAGTTTGGGGCGTATTCTCACGTTCTGACATTTCCTGCTCGTCACCGCTCGAAAGTCCACCTCAATGTAGAGATCAGGGAGCAAGTCTTCATCCTACACAGGACAAAGGTTGCAGCAATGTCAGGGGGGTGTTTCACAAAGACTAAGATTGATTTTAAGTTGGACTTATCTATGGCAGGCTATTCATGCCACTGGTTGCTCTCACCGTTTTGATCTTTAGATAATACCGTTTCCTTCAATAATGAACTATCAAAAAAGGTAAATTCTGTAGATTTGTGACCATTTTTTGTACGTCTCTTGAGAAATCAATGCCAGGAATGGTAGAGTAACTAGTGGCATGAATGGCCTGCCATAGTTAAGTCCAACTTAAAGTCGATCTTAGTCTTTGTGAAACACTCCACAGGTCATATTGGAGATAATACACTTTATTTTGTTTAAGTGTCTTTATCAAAATGTGGCATGGACTTCCTGATTCAGCTGTATAATTGGGGGCACTCTTAATAAATATATTTCAAAGTAGAGTTGAATTCTGTTGTTTGATGTAATTCTGCCCTAATATGTGATAATGAACTTGCTTGCCCTGTAGGGTGACAAAAATGTGAGGACCTGAACCTGTATTCAAGAAAGGTCCCCTAATCATCTATAAATATATCTATGACTGACTTCCCTTTTAGTCAAGTATAGGAACCTTAATGCAGTGACCTCTTGTAAAAGTCAAGTCATCAGGATAAACTAAAAAGGCATGTCATGATTTACCTTTAGTCTCCAGAAGAGTGAGTCGAATCCAGCCCCCAGATTGATGACCTGACATGCCTTCTTGTTAAGCTGTAGGAACTGGGCCAGGAGGGTGTGCATGCCTTGGGTCCTGGCATAGTAACCTGTCAACATACAATAAGAGTAACAAAGCTGTGACATCATAAAAATCTATTTTTAGAATTTCTCAAATTTTTCTTCATTTTCCAAAAGAGCATCAAAAATAATGTCCAATTGTCAAAAAACAATTGAATATTTTAAGTATTGGCTAAGATATGACCATTTGCCTTAATAGATTTCCTATAGGAACTCGGTGTTATTTTGCTCTCGTTCATAACATTAGGAATATGTAGAAAATCTATTTATCCAGATGGTCATATCTCAGCCAATACTTAAAATATTCCATTGGTTTTCGACAATTGGACATTATTTTTTACGCTCTTTCGGAATATGAACCTTTTGTCAGGTCGACTGACATTCAAAACAGCCCATCAGGTGGCCACATAGCAGTGGGCTATGAGGGGGAATTCAACACCGTTTGGTCGGGTGTTTACCCAATAACAGGTGTTGTCAATCACTAGGTTTAGCCCTCAGTTTTATGATCAACAGGCCTTATGTAATGCTCTGTATTTGAATGCTACATCCCACATTTTTAAACGAAGAATTCTAAATCTTCAACATGCCAAAGATAGCCAAAGATTGTTTTTTTAGAAATCAAATCAACAATATTTTTTAGAATGTGTTAACCAGAAAAAAACAAAAATAAAGGTATTTGTTCTTACAGTCTCTCTCAACATTAATCTTTATCCGACTCTCATACACGAGCAGTATCTTACTGCAAGTTTGTTGAAAATGATATACATGTAGAATACATACCTCTGTTGATCTCTGGAGCTCTTCTCTGACCACTCTTTACTAGAAGCTGGATGTAGGGATCTTTCCAGTACCCTTGCTGCACTGCAAATCTGTCGGTATTGTAATAGATAATTGTAAGAGTAAAGCTACATGAGCAGTGCTATCGTTTGCACCAATTCCTCTTTCACAATCTTGATATAAAAATTTACCAGCAGCTACACGGAGTCAACAAAGTGTATCATTTTACATTCTCCAGTAGTCTGCCTTAATATGCAGTTATGCACCATTACTTTCATCATTTTTAAGGAAATATTTAGCCAAGTTCTTCTATGATCTGCTGTCTGAGAAGATGCACCACAACTTTGATAATCATATTTTGATTTTTGAAAATGATGTTGTAAAACCCAGAGGTTTAAAAACTCTACAGTTCTATATTCAAAAGGAGAAAAGAACTAACAAACATAAGGTGATAATCCTATTCAATATGTCAGCCACTTAAAAAAAATCCTGAAAGTACTCATTAGTAATTTAACTGAATTTAATAACTTTGCAAGGAAAACAATATCTGTTTGCAGCTTCCTATCAAGCCATTTTGCCACCTTGATCCAAATAGTGACCCACATAGAATGGATGGTGGTGCATGACTGGCTATTGTGCAACCAGAGGTATCAAGACAAAACAGCAGCTATCTTATTACCCCTGTTTGATGTGTATCTCAAACAGGTGATTTCTACGATGTGTGCAGTTCTATGCACGTCTTACTAATGTCTTTGTCGCTCTGTTAAATAGTGGACAGAACTTTGTCTGACCATGCAACAATGTTGCTTAATACAAAAATAAATAAAACAAAAAATACACTGACTGCTGAATTGTTCAAAGCAGATGAACCAATCAAATCAAATGTCTTGTCACAATAATGTTATGGAGAAATATGAATTTTTTTGAAATTTGAATGCATAACCAACATGGTTTATTATTAGGAAACCGTTGTTATGGCTGCATTTCACATGTGATCGTCCTAAATCACAGCTAAAATACAAGACGGTCCAATAACCTCCTGAGTTCAGAGAGGCACAAATATCGCTGGGAAAATAGCCTTGTTGTTGGTATCGTTTCTTTTCTTGTTTTGTGAGCCAAATATGCTATATGGGAGACAGTCTTTTAAAAGTCTCCCAAATGGCTTATTTTGAATCATTGGGTCATAGCGTCTGGTCTGCGGCTCGCGTTACCTGACCCTTCTCCCATTATCCACTCCAGCAAAGCATAGAGAGTCAATTGCTAATGTGTATTGACCTCTAGCACTGCACTACGTGTTAATTGGCAGAATTGCACTCACGAATAGTCCATATACTAGGGAGGCCAATGCCCAAATCTAACTTTTTAATTACTAATTTGTTTATAATAAAACAAAGATTAAAAGAAAGCATTTTCTTTCACTAAGACAACTCACCCATCTGCCGACTCCATAAGTTCCATAAAATAGGAGATATCCAGCTCTTTTGTAGCCATTTCCTTCTACGCCTATCCATACGTAAGAGCCTTGAAACAATTATATTTCATGTCGCAAAATTACGTTCATAATTAGACAGGCCCGAGGGAATGGGCGTGTCATTGTCCGGACAAAGTTCATGATGAAGTTTAAAACTTCGCGCGAAAGTACAATCACTCAAAAGCGGCTAGCCTTGAATCGGTCGCACACGTACACACCGACACAGGCAAGCCCCGATCCAGTACACACCGACACAGGCAAGCCCCGATCCAGGCTGAAATCCAGCCATCAATGTGCGAACGATTACATCTTCTACTACTACGAGCCGAAGGCGATGGTTGAAAAATGAAGAAGAGATATCAAAATTGGCAGGAAAGAAATAGATATAATTCATTGATATTTACCTTAGATGTGTATTCCAATAACTTGATTTCCTCATGCGTATTCCTTATGATTTCAGTCGGAGATCTACTGTACAATCAACAAGAACGACCTCCAAAATCAGCACAACACATTATTTAATCCCCGGAATGATACTATGCATGCACCTCGCATGTACGTACGGTACCTAGTAAGCTAGCTACCTGGATATCTCTCTCTCTCTCCTTCTTCTTCTTCGGCTATACGTGACAAAACATCATCCAATCATGTCTTTTCAACCGAACTTCTCAATTGGAGTATAGACTGCTCACGTACAGTAGACATTTTTTAATGAAATATCTTTTTTTAAACATTTCTCATGCATGATTTACTGCACGAGCTCGACACTTGAGTCTATAGTGCTGTGAGAATAAGGTACTGTGTGTGAGACTACGAAAGATTTGTCTGGCGCGCGATATGACCGGAGCTCATACATATTCATATTTATGATGTCGCAAGACTTCCATTTTTAGCTAGAACAATGACAGCACTGTTCACAGTTTTTCTTCTCATTTTGAGATGGCTGTAGCTATGGGGCTCAAACCAACGCAAGATTGACATAAACATCGTACTCTATCTACCTTCGAATGTTCAGTTTGTAAAAATCTGTATTTAAAAAGATATAATCTTTTTTCTTTATATTTTCTAGTTGTTAGAAGTGACAATTGTGAACATCTGAAATGTTGATCTCTATCAAAAGTTCTTTACTCAAAACGGATCCCATATTTTTAGGGTCTACCTTCTGCCAATGAGAAGGTTTTTAGTGAGCAAACCTCTACGCCCTCTAGGATTTTCTTAGTCGGTTGTGCGCGTCCGTCAATGTCTTCTGCTAGCCCAATTATTGTATTCAAATACGTCAAAATCTGCAAGATCGTCAACAAATGGTGAAAGACTGTTACAGATCCGTGATTATAGGTATGTTATGAAATGTATAATTGTATTTTCTTTTCTTATTTTCATAAATTTTTATTTTTACATAAGTTTTTTCCCTCTGCTAATTTTTTGAAGTGGGCGACAAGCGCACAAATCGTAGGTGTAGAAGCCTTACGCCCGGGCATTGGCCTCCCTACATAGATCTATACACACATAACACACAAATGCACGCAATAAAGACGATGTGGCTGATTGGCAAGTTTGACAGTCTAGACTCACGATTTGAATTTTCAAATTACTCTTTCTAACATCGGTAGGCCCTAAAGGCTTTCTACGATGTAATCACAGAATGTGGAGCAACAGGGTATTAAACGCTGAAACTGATGGCTCAAGACCGAGGAACTTGGTAAGAAAACACTTGATATAAAATTTTGATTGGGTCACTGAGCCTGTCATAAACTGACAGATCACTATTGATAATAAACAACGGTAAGTTGAAAAAATTACTGCTAGATCTATTTATATAATTTAGGTGTCATCAATTGTCACTAAAGAAAGTAATGATTTTTAGTGAAATCAGTTGAGTTTTGTACAGTGATGTTTGAAATGTTGAGTATCAATACCACAGCTTTTAATACACAGCCAGGATAGTAATGCTGCATCTAGATCTAGATCTATATCATTATCAGTATACTGTATCTCGACCACTTAATTTCAGCTATCAATCATAACAAACACGATTATTCACGTGTGGGGCTTAAGTTAAGAATTAACTCGTTCAATGTTGATTTTACTGGGCATTCATACCGTTTGCACATCGAAGCATCGTCGTTTGTTGATTGGACTGCTTCATCTGACATCTTCAATAAAAGGTAGATTTAATCGATTAGAATATAATATTTAGTGAGATAAATGCGAACTTTTATCACCCGTTCATTAAAAGTTCTTGTTAAGAAACCGCTCCAGACTCGGCCACAGCTAGCAATTGCTACCATGAAAATCGCCCGATTGTCTAGGTGATTCGACCCAATTTTTACATGGTGATGACGCAGAAAGAGATGAAAAGACGATGTCTTCGCTCGCTGTGCCCTCCCCGGTCAGTGGCGGATCCAAGAGATGTGGAAGTATAGGGGGCCCATAGATCTCTATAAAAATTGAGCCCCCTCCCCACTCTTTTTCTTGGGAGGGGGGGGGGGGCTTACAAATATGTATGTGCTTCTGAAATAAACAGACAACTCCCTAAATTCATGGATCTGCCAAACAGTTACTTTTTTATGTTTCTCACAGGCAGCATTTCATAATTAACATTTGTAAAGACCTCACCCCCCCCCCCCCCCAAAAAAAAAAAGAGAGAGAGGAGAGAGAGAGGGGATGCAGAAAATAACAACAGGTAATTTGTTGGGTTACAAATAAAGAAGATCAAACAGAACAAGAAGCGCAATCTATTAGAACAAACTTATTAAAGGGCAATAGAGAGACATGCAAATTCATTTTTTTCCATCTCCTTTTTCCAATAGGCGCTCTGGATATAATTCTTTCTTTTTTCATAAGTAGGCTCATTCACAATATGAAACAACAAGAAAAAATAGGGGAAGAGCAGTTATGGTTTGAAATTCTGCAGGACTATAATGAAAAGATTCACATTTTTTTAAGGTTTAGATGTGTATGATGGTGTTATTTCTCCCAGCGTGTTATGAAAATATAATAACTGCTTACATGTACAGTGTATTTATGCTTTAGTCAAATAACATGATGGTGAGCTTGATCTAACTTTTTGAGGAGAGTGTATTATTAATAATTTTCCTAAGGAAAAATATATCTTTTTAAAGTTTTAAAAAAATGCCTTTTACCTTCAGTAAAGCAGATGTTTGGATTCATAATAACGTGTTATGCAAGTGGTTTTTATTCTCTCTTTCCCTTACCTACATTCCTGTCTTTGCTTGCTCAGCTTCCTTCATTCCATTTCTCATCTTACTCTGCTATCTCCTCTTACTCTTGTCAGAATGTAACTGTTTGTTAATCTAATTGATGTATTTTTTGTGTGCAAATTTATGTATTCTTATGTTATTCATTGTTATCTCCTGCCAGCTAGTGAAGGCCAAATTTCTGTGTTTTTTAACGTGGCCAATCAAATCTGAATCTGAAGGGACCTCGCAGGATACATCAAAGAGTTGTCAATTTGTGTTTGATTCATCACAACTTCAAAATTTCTTAAACTTTCTTATTTTTTAACTGAATTTGCTCAAACTTTCACTGATCTCTTTCACAGTCACTTTTTTTCTTCTTCTATTAAAACCAACTTAATATAAGGGTGGACTTCCCTGTTAAAATTATTCAAGATGAAGCACAGTAGCTTACATGCCGTGAAAACAAAAGCAAAGAGAATAGAATGACATGGTCTATGCATTCCATTTATGGGGGAGGGGGTCTCTCCCTCTACTACACTCATCTACCCATACACATACACAAACACACACACACACACACACACAGACAAGGGGGAAAAATGATTGCTTCAAACCAATTTGAGTTGGTGGACTTATTTTAGATTGACTTTTATTTCCGTTGTCGAATCAGAAAAGATTACACTACACAGGTGGCCTAAATATATTTAAAGAAAAAAAGAACTCAAAAACTTTGTACATAAAATCTCACCCTATGGTAATACTGTACAAACAATATTTCAATTCTGATATAAGAAGCCACCATTATTATTATTATATCTTCATAACAAGTTGAATTGTGTAAAAGCTGAAGAAACAAAGAGCAGGTTGTAATTCAACTCAAAGCAGTGGAATTGTAATGTTATCCTCATCTTTACAATATGGTATTTTGATTATACAATAATTATAACATGTATACTGCTGCTTACTGCATCAGAAAGCAAGAAATCTTCAAATTAGACATCAGGAATAACGCATGCGGCCAGGCGCGTACCCAGGGGGGTGTTAAACCCCCCCTTTGGTATTTTTATGTGTATAAACCCCCCCTAAAAAAAAAACTATAAAAAAAAAACCTTTGGTTTTGTTTTTTAATATAAAAAAAAATAAACAATTAAAAAAATTAAAAAAAATATTCCCATGCCTGACATAAAAAAAAGGTGACCTCCCCCCCCCCCCCCCCAACAGAGCAAAATGTCAAATTTTCAAATTTCGAAAAAAAAAAAGGATTCCCCCCCCCCCCCCACCCACTTATTCAGCAGCCTGCTGAGTCGTTGCGATTTTTTGGTGACCAAAAAAAAAAAAAAAAGTGTCCTCTTACCCCCCCCCCCCCCCCGCTTATTCAGTGACTGGCTGAGTCGATGCGAATTTTTCGGGCTTATTTAAAAATGTTAAAACCCCCCCCCCCCCCCCTTGAAAAAATCCTGCGTACGTGCCTGCATGCGGCCATACCATCCAAGAGTTGTTAAAATCGCGTAGTTACAATTAGGGCGAGCTGAACTGTTATAACTAAATAATAACAAAATTATGCTCTTTAAACATATAATTTTGGCACATAGACCAGTTAAACCTGGCCACCCCACTAGAAATTACTTTATGTTGCTCACTTGCTCACTAGTCTACTGCCTGGAATTTGTACATGTTGCACGCCCAAACAGCTGAAAAATCCTCAATGCTAGAACGGACAGTTCTTACCCAGGCAAACGACGGGTGTATTTTCGGGGGTCTGTGTAGAATGCGTGGAAGGGAGGAGGACATACATTTAGATGATTCAAGAATTAAACAAATATATAAACGGACATAATCTGGACTAATTGCCCACCTGTATGAACTGGTCACACATATTGTTTACATTTGAGAGTACACATACAACCCCCAAATGAATGGTCATCATAATATCCAGCAATTACAACATAGATGATGTTGTAGTTGTATGTTATTTGATACATAATCATGATAATGATTACTTGAAGTTGTTAGTGTGTCACAAGTTATTTAAAAAAAATCATAGAAAAATAGAATAAATAAAAATCACTTCTTCAAATCTTGCCTATTACTGACTTAAGTAGCCTGCGCATTTGAATGTTTTAAAGAGATACTATAATAGGAACATTGTTTTTTTACGGCACTTTTATTGCCCACTACCTAGTAACCTATGGAAGTCCATGTAGTTACAAACTGGGTAAGAAAATACAGTTATTCTTTTTGTGTACAAATTACACAAAAATAAAATCATAACATTTTAGCAAAATGCACTTAAAAAGCCAAAGTCTACTGAATCAGAATGGACACACGATCAACGCAAACATAACTTCGAACCGATACAGTTTACAGGAAGACATATACATGTACATTAGAAGTTACATAATCAAGCTAGTTTTGTACATACTCATTTACAATTACACATTCATACCAGCAATGGGATACAATATGAACATCGTCAACTCTTACTTTTTGTTGTTAACAAATTTTATAAAAGTGTTATAAATATCTTCAAGCTTGGGCAGGGCTATCACAGTTTCAGCTTGATACAGTCATATGATCCATTACCGGTAGACTGAAATTTTAGACGTGGTCGGCAAAGTTAACAGCTTGGACTAGCCCTTCTCCATTTTTTATCATTTCTTAAATACATTGTATTTTGCCTTTCTGTCTAAATCTTAACAATATGAATTATAGAATAAATATGACAATTCATGCAGATATGTCAAGCTATGACAGGTTTTCTGACTTATAGTTTACATGTATATTGAACTTTGAAATCTCTACTACACTGGCAAAATAAAATATATTTTGCTCTCTTTTGATACTGATGGATGCTATCTGCATGTAGAATATGGCAGATGATCAAATGCCAGTACACATATTTCAATAAAAACATGCAAAAATCTTATAAGTCTTATAAATCATGTACAAAGCAGGGACAATGAGTTTACCGATGAGAAGTCAACCAAGAGCAATGGAACAGTTAAACTAAATATCAACATGATGTACATGTACAGAGTGTTGCAGGGATGTACAAGGTGAAAATCTCAAGACTTGTAAATGGGCCAAAATGTTGGGGAAAAATCATAATTGAAAACTTTCCTTAAAGTGTGGTGGCAAAATATTAATTAAAAGCAAAATTACAGTCATTCTTTGTTTCAAATTTGAATATTACAACTGGCAGTGTTTTATTCACCCCATTTGTTGTGTACAAAGTGAGGGCTTCCATTTTCAATCATAGAAAACCATTATCTTGATATGAAATTGTGCACATACCGGTACTGTCATAAACTCATCTTGCTGCTATAGATACATTTTGAGATAAGTTTTTTTTTTAGGGCTTGTAAATCCCAGATAGGGGCTTTAAACATTGGATATAATGACATGTACATGAACATGTATGTAATTAAAACTACAGGTGAAGCATTTGCAATGCTAAGCACTTCCACTTATGGAGTCAGCAGAAGTGTAGAGAAATGTTTCACTATAATAATTACAAAATGACGAACTTCCCTTTCCTGATCGCAATACATGTACAATTATGTACTGCAACCTAAAACTGTAAATAATGTGATACTTATTTAGATTCATTTTGGACATGCAGGCGACACTGCAGTAAAACCTTAAATAGTGGTCTTTTCTGGCCAGCTGGAGATAGTGGTCAGTTATTCCTTTGCCTATGAGAGTAGATGTGTCATATCATCTTGTATTATGGTAATCTTCATATAGTGGACTCTATCATTGCGTCCCTAAAGCAGTTATGTCTATAGTGCACGCCAGCTAATCCTTTTAAAAGCATGGCAGCATGATTTTGTGACAGTTCTGATTATTTTTCCACACTACAATGTAGGTAACTCTGATTTCTCTAGACAAACTCATGAAATAAAAAACCTCGAGATTTTAACTGCAATGGACCTGCAGATGAGATTTCAATTCGTCCTCTGTACCTAGTTTCTCGTCACACAAAAAGCATTGGTATTTCTCTTCGAAATTCTGCCAACTCGAATCGGGCATCACCTTGCTGTCACTATCATCGACAAACTCTTCTTCGGTGTATATGTCAGACGCATTGTCATCTTCTTGAATCTCTACCAAACAACACTTAGTCGAGCCAGGAATGACCCTACTGTCATCAAGGCTTTGATAATCTAGACACTCTTTGACTTCCTCAGTGCATATGTCAGGTGAGTTCGCATTCTCTTCATGATGATGCTTAGTCAAGTATGGCACCTGGTTCTCACAAAGGCCTTGATCATCTACACAGGACGTACTATCTTGAGACCTTGATAAGAGACGCTCTTCTGCCTGCTCTTCTGTCTGATGTGTCAAATTTACCTTGCAACCGAGCCCTTTGGAACACAGAGAGCACAGATATGGATTGGGATCGGTGACTCCGATTGCACGATTCTCAAAGTGTGGGTTGAACTCATAAAGTTTGCCGCATACACTGCACAAGTATTTCTCTTTTGCCTCAATTTTGTTTGGCATGGATTCTCCATCGCAAGTTCTTGTGTGAGATCTTGCATCTAATTCTTTGCCATCATGAATTTGCAGACAACACACAGGACACTGTTGCTCCTGTTTCACCAAGTGAAGACTCATATGGGCCTCCCATGTCGGCCTTACGACAAAATTCCTATTACAAACAGCACATTCATAACCACTTGTTATGCTATTAGTGACATTCCTACACTCCAACACTTTGGTGTCAAGTGCAACACACCCATGACGAGTAAGGTGATAGCGAAGAGCAAACTTCTCCCCACATAAGGCACAACAGAATGGCAAGCTTTCGTTATGGATCACACCCATATTGTGCTTCTTATTCACATGCTTCCGGTAACTGGCCAAGCGTGAGAAATTCTTACAACATGCGTCACACCGATACTTGGCCCGGCATTCTTTTGTTGGTTTACTCTCTGAATCATCATCATCTTCATCTACAGCAGTCTTCTTACTTCTACCAGAGACTGGATGCAAAGCTTGATTGTGAATTTTCTCATGAGAATACACATATGAACTTAGACACCATTTGCCTTTGAATGGGTGACCTCCAGTGTGTAACTTCATATAATGTATTCTTGCATCTCTGTCATTTTGGAATTTTCTAGGACATACAGGACAAATGTACTTGTCTTGCCTCAAGTGTACAGCCATATGTCGTCGCCAAGAGTCCCTGATCTTAAACATCCTGTTACAAACAGTGCACATATAATCCTTACTTTCCTTAGATTTACTATATTGCCGTCTTATATATAAAGACTCTTTATCACGTTCCAATAGTTTACTATCAAGTGACTGACATCTATGGCGACTAAGTTCAAATTGGCAAAGCAATGTCTCCCCGCACAAAGCACACCTGCACTGAGATTGTTCCCCTTTGTGCATCTTAGGCACACTATCCTCGCTCTTCTTGATCAATTCCTCTTTATTTGGACCAGGGAACACCTCCCTGTTTGGACTGGCATTTGTGCAAGCTGTCTGAAGGGACTTCTGTGGATGGTCCATGCGCTTCTTTGTGCCACAAGCAAAATCATTTTTCACCTTTTTCTTCCCCATCCTCTTATCTTCTAAGGAACTTGACAAGACACGGAGTTTCATATGTTTCATTAAACTTTCCTTGGATTGGAACCCCCTACCACAGCGGAAGCAGGTGTGTGGATGGGTAGTTAAGTGAGCTTCCATGTGTATTTTCAAGGTGGAAATTACATCACAACTTTCACCACACACATTGCATACGTACTTAGTTACCCAGCCTTTTTGTTGTACTTCGCATTTGTGAGCTTGCATATTCCTTTGTCGTACAAAACTCTTTCTACACATGCAGCATGCATAGCATGAACGCCAGGCTATGTCATGAAATCTTTCATGACCTTTTAAGTTCTGTTTGGCATGAAACCTCTGAGGGCACCATGGACATTTCGATGGATAGTCTTCAGTATGCTGACTCAAATGATTTTTCAACGTGCTCGTGGCCCTAAATTTAAGGCGGCACAATTGGCATTGGAGCTTCTGCTGACCTATCAAATGAATATTCATATGTGTCTCCCAAGTCCTCTTACTCGTGAACATCCTGTCACAAACAGCACACTTATAATCAGATGCCTTTCCCTTGACACTATTCTTTATCAGCTGAAGGTTACTAATACTATCAAGTTTATCACATCTGTGGCGATTAAGTTGATACCGATTACCAAATCTCTCCCCACATAAGGCACAAGAGAACCATAAAAGTAGGTCTTCCTCATAGTGTATCCTCAGATGAGTCCTGATACTTCCAAGAGTAGTAAACTTTTTATAACAAACTGAGCACTGGTAACCATTTTCTACTTCAATACTCCTACCACTGGCATGTGTAATGATCATGTGCTTCTCAAGGTTGGCCTCATTTGCAAACTTCTGTCCACATACTTGGCACTTACAGTCGCCATCCATCTCATCTCTCTGATTGTTTTTTACACCGTCTCCACTCAGGACTTTTCCTTTGGATGAATTGGAAGAGAATTTTGAAAGAGATTTACTTGAACAACCTCTCTGCTTTTTTGTGCCATCAACATCACCCTTTCCTACATGAACATCTGTCTTCTCCATTTTTTCAAGTATCACATTTCTTCCATCCCTTAGAGAGTCCATTCTCTGCAAAAACCCTTACCATTGCATTCTTTATAATTACAATACACTTTTTTTTATCTTCAAGAGTAGTGAACATGAGCTCGCTCTTGGTTTTTCTTTATGATTATGTTCTCATGTCCAGTATCTCTCAAATGATGTTCTGGTATTCATGGAGGGATGTTTTAGTTTTGCTCAAGTTCTGTTGTTCCTCAGACCTATACAAAACTCCTGGAGCAGATCACATATCCCTTTCCAAAATCCAAAGAGCTGTCATGTGATTTTGATCTCTTTCTTTTGTTGTATGATTACGTCCTGTTCTGGGGCTCTATATGAATTCCTGGACGGTTGTTTCAGTTCTGGTCAAGTTCTGTTGTTGGTCAGCGCTATACAAAACTCCTGGAGCAGATCACATATCCCTTTCCAAAATCCAAAGATCTGCCATGTGATTTTGATCTCTTTCTTTTGTTGTATGATTATGTCCTGTTCTGGGGCTCTCATATGAATTCCTGGACGGTTGTTTCGGGTCTGCTCAGGTTATGTTGTTGGTCAGAGCTAAAGTTAACCTAGATTCCTTTCCAAGAAGCTGCTGTATGGTTTTGATCTCTTGGTCTTGATATGTGTCATGTCCTGGGACTCTCATAGATACTCTGATATTCCTTAAGGATTGTTTCAGTCCTGCTTCTATCGTTGCTCTGTGACAAACAACCCCTCTTCTGGAGATCATCTATCCCTCTCCTAGATACTGTCACTGTGGTCGAATAAAAGATAAAAAAAGAGAAATTAGTGATCACCATGAAAGGGTATGGCTAAAAAAAAATCCAATCTTTAGAAAATAATTAAACATTATTCAAGTAGTCTTTGTAAATGCAAATCATTAACATTTTGAAATTATGCCCTTCTAATCAGAGGACTTTAGAATATACTTGTTTGTTTGTATGTGTGGGGGGGGGGGGGCTATTGACAAAATGCCCTTTAGCATATAGTGAGGTACTCCTGGACTCTCCTCCCACCCATTTGCAGCACTTGTGATTTTTAAATGCATCAAATTCCAGGAAATTTGATGTTCTATTTCAGGAAAACAAATTTTCAGGAGTGGAAACACTGGCCCTATATATCAATAACAGCTAGTTTGAGCTATGGCTAACATTCACCAAAATTAGGACATACATGTACAGTGTACATGTAGTCAAATACTGAATTTACTTGTTGGATAACTTGATTCTGGCTGGGTCTTTACAAATTATACTTTACTTAAAAAGTTAAAACTGTATGTTTTTTCAAAGTGAAAATAAAGAATTGACTCTGGTTAAATGCATTTTCCCTTCCTAATGCAAATCTATTTAACCCAAGTTGGCTGACTTTTCCTCATCCCACATGGAAACAATTACACCAAATGTGACCGACGACACAAACTTTCCAAATTATTTTTCCATAGAGGGAGTCTACAACGTCATGATACCCAGACGTTGTGTCCGGACAGGTTGTGAATCCAAACAGTTTATTTGATATAAAAACAGCAATGTCAAGAAGTTTAGATGCAATATTTCATCTTCTAAGACCTATGTTGTACAATATTATAAAGGACAAATATTCATGATGGTTATTGCTATTTGATGAATATTTTCATATTCCGGTCTTCTGTTATGACATTTATTGGATTCAAATCTGTCAAAATCTGCAAGATCATGAACAAATGTAACTCTAGGAAGCTCCGAACAAATGGTTAAAGACCGGAACAGATCTGTGATTTTTCTTTTGTAATTGAATAATTCTTCTTTTTGTTTAGATCTAGATCTACTAATTTTCAGCTTTGCACCAAATACCTGGCGCTGCTCAACACCCAGGAGGCCTCCCACCTCACACATAGGTGCATTACTATACTGGCTGTGTATTAAAAGCTGTGCTATCGATTCTCAACATTTCAAACACCACTGTACAAAACTCAACTGATTTCACTAAAAATCGGTAGTTTAGTGACAATTGATGACACCTAAATAGCAGTAAAATACAATTTTTTCAACTTTCCGATGTTAGAAAGAATAATTTGAAAATTAAAATTGTGAGTCCATCGTCAAACTTGCCGATCAGCCGCACCGGACTGATTGTGTGCATCTGTGTGTTATGAGTGTAGACTCTATTGTGTATTGACTATTCATGTATTAAAATGCTGCCTATTAACACGTAATGCAGTGCTAGAGGTCAATACGCATTATTGATAATGTGCAGGGTATTCTGCAGGTGTTTAATTACCTTTTAGTAGTAGATTAACCATTGGATCGACTGTTTCACCTGGCTGGACACCTCCTCCTCTGGGTCTATTGAGAAAACTTCGATGAGTATAGACTACCATTTAGATTACCTAGAGAATTTCAGAAATTGCACGTAAAATTAAATGATTGTTGTTATACGTTCATTTCGCCCCTAAACAATTTACTATCGAACAACATCGCCCTTGGCCGGCCTATCACCCGGTACCAAGCTTCTGTGTTTCGACGCGAGTGTTACAACTAGCCACGTATCATAATTCAAAGAGATTCAAATTGAAAGATTTTTTTTTCTTCAACACTGTACAATATTTTACTGCGAGCAAGGATGGCAATCCCCGGAGGATTCTGAAAAGAAATTAAGGAAATTATTATATTTAAGGATATAGGGAAATAATAGAAGATCATTCTAAAAGGTTGCAGGCAGGCTTTACTACTTCAGCTAGAAGGGATTAGACCACCCAGCGAGCCAGCGAGGTCACTGTGACAGGTGGCTATCTCATTAACTCAGCTCTCATTTAACAGAAGAAAAAGAGGATCATGGGGGACCAACAGGCACCGATTGGGGAAGTTTTATATATAGAGGGAGCAAGTAGCTACGGTAGGATGTGCCTAGAACAGAGGCGGCCCTCCCGGGGGGCAGGGGGGGCACAGTGCCCCCCCCCCCCCTTTTTCAGATACCCCAAAAGTGCCCCCTTTTACATAGGAAAATTGCCCTTTTATTTAGTAAGAAGTGCCCCTTTTACATAGGAAAAGTGCCCCTATTATTTAGTAAAAGTGCCCCTTCCCCTTTTCACCTCTGACGAGTGCCCTTTTTATTTTTGACACGTGCCCCTTTCCCTTCGACATGTTCCCATTTTCCTTTGCAATAAGTGTCCATTTTCCATTCTCATAAATCTTGAAATTATCTTGAATAAGTGCCCTTTTTAATCTCTAGTAAGTGCCTCTTTTCAAGTACGAGAAGTGCCCCTTTTCACTTTTGATAATTGCCCCTTCACCTCTGATAATTGCCCTATTCAAAACTGAGAGGTGCTCCTTTTTATGCCTCCGCCACCGAAGGTGGTGCCGGAGGCATCATGTTTTCGGGTTGTCCGTCCGTACGTCCGTCCGTACGTCCGTCCCGTTTGACCGTTATCACAATATCTCAAGAACCATTTAAGATTTAAACTTAAGACTCGGGAATAGTATTTATCACCATAGGAAGACGATCTGATTAGATTTTGGAGTACGTAGGTCAAAGGTCACAGGTCACAGAGGTCAACTTATGAAATTCCTTGTATTGAGTTTGTTATAGCGCGATATCTCAAGAACCATTTGAGATTTAAACTTCAAACTTAAGGATAGTATATGTATCACCATAGGAAGACGATCTGATTAGAGTTTGGAGCACGTATGTCAAAGGTCAAGGGTCACAGAGGTCAACTTATGAAATTCCATACATTGAGATTGTTATCATGATATCTCAAGAACCACTGGAGATTTAAACTTCAAACTTAGTGATAGTGTGTATCACTATAGGAAAACAATCTGATTACATTTTGGAGCACGTAGGTCAAAGGTCAAGGGTCATAGAGGTCAACTTATGAAATTCCATACATTGAGATTGTTATCATATCTCAAGAACCACTGGAGATGTAAAAAATTCAAACTTAAGGATAGTATGTATCACCATAGGAAGACGATCTGATTAGATTTTGGAGCACGTAGGTCAAAGGTCAAGGGTCCCAGAGGTCAACTTCTGAAATTCCATACATTTAGATTGTTATCATAATATCTCACAAACAACTGGAGATTTAAACTTCAAACTTAATGATAGTGTGTATCACCATAGGAAGACAATCTGATTAGATTTTGGAGCACGTAGGTCAAAGGTCAAGGGTCACAGAGGTCAACTTATGAAATTCCATACATTGAGATCGTTATCGCGATATCTCAAGAACCACTGGAGAATTTTCACTTCAAACTTAATGATAGTATGTATCACCATATCATAATATCTCAAGAACCACTGGAGATTTAAACTTCAAACTTATATGATAGTGTGTATCACCATAGGAAGACAATCTGATTAGATTTTGGAGCACGTAGGTCAAAGGTCAAGGGTCACAGAGGTCAACTTATGAAATTCCATACATAGAGATTGTTATCATGATATCTCAAGAACCACTGGAGATTTAAACTCCAAACTTGTTTAAATTGCTCTATGGCGGAGGCATCATTTTCGACTGCGCGCAGTCAAAATTCCATCTAGTTTCCTTTGTAAGAAGTGCCCCTTCTCCTTTAAATAACTACCCCTTTTTTAAACTCGGATGAGCACACCTTTCATTTTAACATGTGCCCCTTTTATTTTCTAATAAGTGCCCCTTTTTCTTATGATAAGTGCCCCCATTAAAAAGAGAGAGCTCCTTCCCCCTCTCATAACTACCACTTTCCCTTTCTAATAAGTGCCCCTTTCCCTTATGATAAGTGCCCCCATAAAGAAGACAGAGCTCCTTCCCCTAAGCAATACTGCCCCTTTTAAAAATCTGAACGGTGCCCCTTTTCATTCAACAAATGCACATTTTCCTTTATTATAAGTGCCCCTTTTACATGTTCATAAGTGCCCCTTTTCATATCTGGTCAGTGCCCCTTTTCACCTCTGATAATTCCCCTTTTAATAATGATACGTGCCCCTTTTACTTTCTAATAATGGACCTGTCCCCTTTTCACCTCTTATAAATGCCCCTATCAAAATCTGATGGGTGCCCCTTTTCCGTCAACAAATGCCTATTTCCCATTTTCGTAAACGCCTCTTTTTCATCACTGGTGAGTGCCTCTTTTCAGGTGAAAAAATGCCTCATTTTCACCTCTTATAATTATCCTTTGTACTTTGATACGTGCTCCTTTTCTATTCTAATAAGTGTCTTATCCCTTTCGATAATATTGTCCCCTTTTCATGTAATCATTAAACGTGTCCCTTATTTAAAGCAACTAAGAGCAATTTCCCCCAAAGTTTGCTCGATGCGCTCGCTCGCATTTAAAGATGATATAATTATGTTACTTATCAAAGGTCTTTTCAGTCTTCCGTTATGAAAATGTGCTTATAAACCCCATCACGATTGGCTTTTTTCCTCTTTAAAAGATGTAATTTTTCGCACTGCGACCTCTCAGATCTTTAATTTTTTTTTTTTAAAGTGCCTTTTTTGTTGGTGCCCCCCCCCCACTTTGGAAGTCGCTCGGCCGCCCCTGGCCTAGAGATACATGTATATGCCCCCTTACATAATGCTAGTACACTTTGTTTACTTATATTTCATACTGTCGCTTACATTAGTGTGCCCTTTTAAAATTAATCTGATCCACTCCTTTTACTTTGACAAGCACATGTGCCCCTTTTCCTTTGTAATAATTGCAGTGAGCACTAATTTTTTTTTTTGCTCCCGAAAATTTGAAAATCGCGCCGGCCGAAAATTCGCTTTAGGATTGGGTGACAACCGTGACACCATGTATTTCTTGAAAGGGTATCGTGACTAACAAAAAATTTAAAAAAACTTTGATGTAGAGATACAAATTTACGTTGGGAAGGCGATATTTTTTTCTTATTTTTTCCTCATATTTATTTGCCTGTATTTGTACTTGGAACTGGTGAGGGTGGGGGGGGGGGACATACACAATATAACCACCAGCTCACAGTGCAGGCATTTTTTTTTAATACCCCCCCCCCCCCCAAAAAAAAAAAAAAAAAAAAAAAAAAAGCAACAACAAGTCAAAATACGTACAATTTACAAGTGAAAAGTACAAACAGGAAAATAATAATAAAAAGGAATTCGGCATATACTGAACATACTTTGTCCTACCAAAAAAAAATGTTTACTCAGAATATAGCATAGGCCTACACAAATTTAAATTTTCAGAAAGTCCCATTTCTTGTTCCAAGAGTCAAGTCTATCACGACCAAGAGCGATTTGTTTTTTAATAGCACAACTCAATTTAAAGTTACTAATACAGTGAATAGATACGAGGCAATATCTTGTTACATCGGCAGCAGGAGTCCATGATACCAAAAAATATATCTTCATTGGTAATAATAAAACTGTTGTGCAGTTCCGTGTGCAGTATGTTTTCCTGCACTTCTAACCAAAAGAAATCACCAATTCAAAAAAAGACGTCGAAGTGTCTCATCATCATTTTTTACACAAGGAACAAAGTCATGAATCAATAAATTTAATATAAAAAGGAAATGTATTCGGAGGGAGATATCGATGAAGAAATTGAATTGAAAATATCTGAATTTAGTGGAGAAGGTTGCTTTGAAAGAAAACGGTAAATACCATTCCAATCCAGGTTTGTCTCAATCATGTGCATGCATGTCCCGTCCCATTTCATTTCTAAATTTTCTTCCTGATTGATGAATTTATCACATAAGATTCGGCATTGTATCGCAACTAATGCATTAAAAACACTTTGTGAGGAGATTCAATGAAAAGTCTGTATTTTATTAGTCAAGCTAAAACAAATTGTGAGATACGAAAATAAAGATTTTGTTGTTTCCAAAAAGCCGCTCACGGGTCTGCTTATAATATGCTGTAGGCCAATAACGATTATAATTTCTATTGAAATAAGGGACTTGCCCCTTGTTTTGCAAGAAATTCATCACAGAGAAACAAAATTGTCCACGAGAAAATCATCAAAAGTGTTTTTGTGTACTGCTATTTTGTATTATGGGAAACTAGAAAATAGAGTAAAAATTGTACACACACCAACGACACATGATATTTCCCCCGCCTAACTTTCTTCCCATCTCCTTCCTTCTCTCTCTCTCTCTCTCTCTCTTCCCCTTTTTCATTTCTTCCCCTCTCCCTTTATCTTGCTCTTCTCTCTCTCTCTCTATGCTCTCTTTGGAATTTCTTTATCGTATGTTACATGTATTTTAGATTAATTACAATGATGTCTACAGTGTTGAATACTTGGGCTTATTTTACAGAATCTACAGATGGTATTGATATTTCCAGGCGCGGATCTACGGGGGGGGTTTAGGGGGTTTAAACCCCCCCCTTGGGCGGCCCCAAAAAAAAAAAAAAAAAAAAAAAGAAAAAAAAAAAAAAAAAAAAAAAAAAAAGAAAGAAAAAAGAACGCACGCTGGAGAGAAACCCTTTCAAGTGCAAATATTGTGAGAAGATACTCAACTCATCTGGTAACTTAACCAAACACATGATAACTCTGGATATAACTGTGTATTTACTGTTACTTGATTTAAAAAGACGTTATCATGCACTGCTTTTTATGGTCTCCATTGTGTTAAAAGATGCCAGGAAAACATCACTTACGGAGTTCAAATAAACACCCCAAAAAAAATCGGCTCGCCGCATCGCGGCTCGTGGACGATGCTCCGCATCGTCATTATTTTGGTCAAACCCCCCCCTTAGCAAAAAGCTAGATCCGCCCCTGATTTCCCTAACTTTCTTCCTATCCCCTTCCTTCTCTCTCTCCCCCCCTCTCTCTCTCTCTCTCTCTCTCTCTCTTCTCCTTTCTCATTTTTCTTCCTCTCTCTCCCTCTATCTTACTCTCTTATCTTTCTATGCTCTCTTGGGAATTTCTTTATTGTATGTTACCTGTACCATCTCAATACTTTAATTTTTTAAAACTTTTTTTAGATGACATATTCCCCTCTTTTCACCGTTGATCTTTTTAAACCCAGTCTTATGCATTTTAATTTTCTTGTTTAATGGACTCTCGGTCTGTGCCTGGTTTAGTTATCGTACAGCTCGAGATCCTTCTTTTGGTGTAATTGTAATGATGTATACTTATTGTTATTATTGTTTATAAACCTATGTCCTTTTTGCAATATTTAGTGATAATAGTTTAGTACTTTAGTTATTTGATATTTTAACTCATGTAACTCATATATTTATTCATTACTGCTATTTTATTATGTAGACCTATATTTTATTTAAATTTTATTTTGTACCCAAGACAGAGGTCAGTCTTTGGAATGTTTGCTTTTGGTTTATGATGTTTTGATTTCAATAAAATTCAATTATTATTATGATTCAGATTCAGAAGACTGTCGAAATATTACAAGGCGATTGTTCTGGGGACGAATCTTCTCGGATCTACCGCATTATACATAATACATACAGGCAGGTACAATCATGCAATAACTAGCGAATCTTGCCATCACAGGCACGGAAGCGCAGCCGCACAGATGACCCGCCGCTCCAACGATAGTACGGAAGTCCTGCGACCAGACAAAGATCGGGACACGTCACTCTGCATGCAGTCTGCTGAAGCCTCTCTCTCTGCTTGCTCCGACTGTCGATTTGTAAGCAGTAAACTCAGCGAATTCTTTGAGAAAACTATGTGGTAAGATTCGACGAGACTGGCTTCACAGCATCCATTGCTTTGGATGGGATTCAAGCATGCCTTTTGGGATGGACGATTATCAACTGACCGACGATGATGTTCCAGATGGCTGGTATGAAAATGGTGAGTTGCAATTGATAGATGCATCAGTCAATATAATTGGCATGATTGACTGTTAGACATTGTCTTACTAAGCTAAGCTTAAGAGCTCGAAAAGACAGGTGAATACATGCCACATGGGTCATTCTTTGATAAAACTGACATTTTTTCAACCTTTCCCTTACCTTTTTTAATTTTAGGCAGATTGAGAGTCACAAAATGAATCTCTATCAAAATATACATGAGCAGTAGGGGCGCTGGTCCGAGAATGAGGATCGTCCTCATAAACAAGGATATCCTCATATTAAACGAAGACAAAATGCGTCCTCAAAAATAAGGCTCGTCTGCATTTTCGAGGACGTTTTTTTTCATTGGCGCTCTGGGGGTTTCATGTTACAGAACGGCCCGCTGGCGATGCCAAAAATGGATTCCCCGAGGGAGAATAACCCTAGTTGTCCGTCTACTTTTATGGGTTGTCCGTCTTCCCAAGGATTTATTGCTCATAATGTGAAGGTCTCTGTACAAAGTCAATGTAAATTGCATCAAGAAAATCATTGCAGAATCCGTTTTTTTGCATCGCCAATGAGCCGATCAAAAATATGAAACGTCTGCGAAAATGCAGACGGTCCTTATTTTTGAGGACGCATCGGTCCGTGTTAAAGAAGACGATCGTCGTTTATGAAGACGATCCTTATTCTCAGACCAGCGCCCCTACTGATGAGAGTGGTGAGACTTATCACTAATTGGGAGATTAGCTAATTAATACTAGATAAAATTAGAACTAGACCTACTATCAAGTATCAGCTACCAGCATTAGATTAGTAGGGGCGCTGGGCCGAGAATAAGGATTGTCCGCACAAACGAGGATCGTCTTTGTAAACGTGGACGACTGGACGGACGTGTCCCCTCCGCAAAATTATGGATTGTCCGCATTGTCATTGACGATTCTGATTTCCGAAAGACAAATAAAGGCCAAATAAAAATAAAAAACTTGTTTTAATAGTGTCCTGCCTTTTTGAAAAATAGAAAGGCCTCCTCCTTTCTATTTTTCAATGACCACTCAAAATGGTTGCTCGGTAGACCCTACATCAAGTAGGTCTATCTATACACGTTTTCTTTCTTTTTTTAATTAAAAAAAATTAAAAATTAAAATTTTTAAAATAGGAGGCGGCGGCCTCCAAAAAGGAAGCGGACTGGGACGCTAACCATGATTTAAAAAATGGCCTTTAGGCTTTAGAACTTCCCTCAAAGCGAAAGGGTTTGAAAATTACTTTTTGTGTGAAAATAACGACCATTTACATGTACATGTAGTTGTCGAATCGATTGCAATCACCTAATAACATTCAGTTCTCATTTTACCTCACCTGGTTTGGGTGTGGCAAATGTAGATTAATGTATTGCCGAAGGACAGTCCGGTGACATATCCACTCGACCACGACACTCCTAAGTAATAGTCTGATTCTAAAATTTTATTCAATCAGTTTAATTTTTGCCATTAGGAATAGTGGGTTATTGTAGACAAATGCTCATGTACCTGTTACAGCTCATTGTTATTACCAAAGATTAAAAAATAGTGTCTGGTAGTGAGGTAGTGAAGTTTAGAAGGTAAACAGGTTTCCTTGCATAATTTGAATACTAGGACACTACTATTGTTTAAATTTCACAGATAGGACGTACATGTACATGTGACATATTCATAATTCATCCAAAGTTTTACAGAATTTGACGTCAGCTGCAAAAGTAGCCTATAATCTAGGCGGAGTGCCGAGCTTTTTTCTTTGCTGCTAGACTAACCCTAAGCAGAACGTCTGATACGGCGAGACTACGAACCGTGAGTCGCGAAGCGGCTCACCGCCTATAATCACTGGTCTAGCTTTAGTCGTTGTTTTTTTTTATTATCGACCATGAATCCGTGCCAGTTTTCGTACGAAAAACTGCCACGGATTCAACGTCGATAATAAGAAAACAACGACTAAAGCTAGACCAGTGACTATAGGCGGTGCGCGGCTCACGGTTCGTAGTCTCGCCGTATCAGACGTTCTGCTTAGGGTTAGTCTAGCAGCAAAGGAAAAATCTCGGCACTCCGCCTAGATTATAGGCTACTGCAAAAGGGACATAGTAACTTTAAGCCTTGAGCAGAGCCTAGATCTGTCAGTTTCTGACGAAAGGCTGACGAAAGACTTGTTCAACAGTGTTGGCTTTTCAGAAGCTCTCTAGGAGCTTGTAGATTTCTTGTAGATTTCTAGTAGAATTTTGCCAATATTGTTAAAAATTGCCTCAATACCGGATATAGTTGGGACTGTTTTGCTTCTTTATACTGTTGAACTTTGGATTGAAACTATAGTGGATTCATACAAGCCTATACTTAGGATCAGAGTCAAAAGGTAAGCAAGTCTTGTGGGCTACTAACACATACCGCACCCTTAATTACACGGTAGACTGCACACAATTGAATTTCCCGCCCTTTTCAGGCAACCAACCAGGTCATGGCCGGAGTGACAAACACCGGCCAGGGCGAAGAGCCACCTCTTTTACAACCCAATGAAGAAGATGAATTTCGAACTGTAAATTACTCTCGTAGGGAGCAAAAACCGAGAAATAAACGCAGGCGCGAAGGAAGCATTGCAATTGAAAATCTTTCAATGAGAACAGAATCCTCTTCCTCAGAAGACCAAAATACAACCCAGAACCGCCAATCGGAACTCAAAGTCTTAATTACCCCCATAGATAAATCAAAATCGCTAAAGAATGTGAATCCCATTACTATAGCTAGAAATATCCGTGAAGCTTGTCCAAACCCTGTGGAATTTATCAAACCCACAGCCCAAGGTCTCCTTATCAAATGCAAAAACCAGAAACAAGTAAAAGCACTATCTCAAATTAGTAACATAGGAACCACCCCAGTAAAAGTTGCAGAAAAGCAGCAAGTTGTGAGAGGGGTCATATATGGAGTACCTACAGAAATGACTGATGACGAAATTCTCAATGAATTGAAACACCAAGGAGTAATTGATGTAAAAAGAATCATGAAAAGGTCCAAATCAAATGTAAAATCAATTGAAATTGAAGAAAGCAGACCCAATTTTATCCCAATGAGGAGTGTTATTATAGCATTCAACCGTACAAACCTCCCCAGCAACATAACAATGTGCTATCAACATTTTGAGGTTAAACTATACATTCCCCCCGTTTTGAGGTGCTTTCAATGCCAACGCTACGGCCACGGCATAGCTCAATGCAAAGCAAAGATGAGATGCGTCAGATGCGGGGAAGACCACAAATTTGAGGAATGTAACCGAAAAGAAAGACCGATATGTATAAATTGTGGTGGGAACCATTCAGCAGCCTTTGACGGCTGTCTTGAAGCTAAGAAAGCCAAAAAGATACAAATAGTAAAAGTCAAAAACAATCTTTCATACGCACAAGCTGCAAAAATACAGTCGGAGCAAGAAAAGGCACAGCAGAAACCACAAGCCAACCTCCCTGAATCACATCCCTCCCTCGATGTCAACTCAGATAACCTCCCTCTTCCTCCCCGACCAGTGAGGTCATCCACAGCAATCCGCCCTGAAAACGCCACCCCGCAACTTGATCCCCAGCCCTGGAACACCCCGCTGCAAAAAAAACGCACAGAGCAGTAAATTAATAGATAAGGATGGAAAAACTGAAGTAAAACTAGAAGCCCTCCCTCGAGGTAACCTAGTAACATTAATGAGTGATGAGCAAATAATCTCTTTCATTACGCAACTTGTTCTCATTTTTACGGATGGAAAATCCGAGAAGGAGATTTCATCCTTAGTGAAAGTGGCAGCTGAGAGACTGCTCAAACAAAGAGTAAAACATGACGCTAAAGATGTACTGGTATAGCATAGTAATGATGATGACAGCGCTAACCATATTACAATGGAACGCGCAGGGACTTCTTAATCACGGTCCTGAACTTATAAAATACTTAGATTCATATAAAGATGTAAAGTACCATTTAATTTGTGTTCAGGAAACATGGTTCAATGATGATAGAATATTGCAAATCCCTGAATATACATGTTTTATTAGAAACAGGGAAAATCAATCTAAAGGAGGGTGTGCCATTTATGTACATGATTCCATCAACTATGAATATCCTGTCAATGACGAAGAATTCGAAATACAACATATTAAAGTTCATGTTGCTGGATCAAAAATCTCCATAATCAATTTCTATAACCCTTGCAAAAAATTAAACGAGATTGTTTTGAACAGGATGATTAACAAACTAGAATACAATCTATTCCTTATAGTTGGGGATTTCAACTCACATAATCCTGTGTGGGGTAGTGCAAAGATAGACCAAAATGGGCACACAATTGAAAATTTCACACATGACAATAACTTTATAATTTTAAACGACGGAAGAGGAACCAGAATAGATCCACGCACTGGGAAAATGTCATGTTTGGATCTTAGCATCACCTCCCCCAAACTATCTTGCCTATGCTCGTGGGAAGTTTTGCAGCACACCCTTGGTAGTGACCATTTTCCCATCTCCACCCAGATATTATTGGACCGAGCAGGGCAAGTAAACAGCAACAGCGAGAAGATAAATGAGGAAACAACTTGGTCTTTTAAAAATTTTGATTGGAACACTTTTGCCGAAAAATGTGAACATAAAATTGAACATAGTGGCAACTATTCCGACCCTACGAAAATGTATAAATGTTTTATGAAAAGTTTGTCAGAGACTATTAAAGAAATAATGCCCCAGAGGGGAAAGAAAAAACATGACCCTGTACCTTGGTGGACAAAAGACTGTACACAAAGTATCAAAGAAAGAAACAGGGCTAATAATAGATTAAAAAGACACATTTCAATAGAAAATCTAAATACATATTTGAAGAAAAAATCAGAGGTACAAAAAACTCTACGCCAAGCAGAACGAAATTACTGGCAAGAATTTTGCTCAAGACTCAACCGCTTTGTACCAGAATCAGCGGTATGGTCTACCATTAAACGGTTAAAGGGGGTATCTGTCAAAAAAACAAAAA